GGCACCCTCAGCTTCATACAGCAAACACCTGTGGAGAGCCGACTTCATCACAGGCTTGGCGAGCTGGGCGCTTGGGATAGAAAGACAAGATATCTCCAACCCACTTGGTCGGCGTTAATCCAGGTCCACTAAAGCCCTTTAGCAGGCAGGTTGGTGACAGTGACAATCCTGGGAATTAAGATCTCAAATGCTCTCCAGATTTTTCTCCTTTTTAAGGTTGAATAATACTCCATTGTATGTGTATAACACATTTTGTTTGTTTATTCATCTGTCACTGGATACTTGAGTTGCTTCTACCCTTTAACTATTGTGAAATAGTGCGGCCGTGAACATGGGTGTGGCAATATCTCATTGTGGTTCTGATTTACATTTTTCTGATGATTAGTGATATTGAGCATCTTTTTGTACAGTTGTTGCCTTTTTATATATAATCATTGAATGACACCTATTTTTTATTTTGAAGATTTTTTTTTCATTTTTTAGAGAGAGGGGAAGAGAGGGATAAAGAGAGGGAGAGAAAATCAGTGCATGGTTGCCTCTCATGTACTCCCCACTAGGGACCTTGCCTGCAACCCAGGCATGTGCTCTGACTGGGAATGGAACCGGTGACGCTTTGGTTCACAGGCCTGCGCTCAATCCACTGAACCACAGCTGCCAAGGCTCACGCCTATTTTTTTAATGTACGACTTAAGTGTGCATAGGATCACCATTCCTTTGTAATTAAGCACTAGGATTCCAAATCAGGTCCCTGCTTTTTTTGGGACATTTCTCCAGTGACGCGCACAGCCTATAATGTGAGAGTTACTTAAAGACTACAGAGGGGAATGGGGTTATAAAATAAGTACATTTATCAGAGATTTGACAACCTTGTCAATATCCTTGTTTGACACCCACAAGTGCCATTGAAGAGGATATCTTAATGACATCAGGCAGTTGGAATTGATAGGCCAGTGGCGTTCAGAAAAGTTAAATGGCATTTGTCCTTAAGACTATTATTCAAACCAATACAACCCGGCATATGACTGGCGTCAAGGAGGAATTGGAGGTTTCCAGGAGTCACTGATTAAATGTGAAATGATAGCATGCAGCTCCCCTATAACTTTATATTGAAAAATTCATATAAATGCTTCTGGTTTCCGCTTGGGTCTTAGTATGAATTTTCCCTCATTTTGCACATGAGCTTACTATGGACTAAAAGTGACATATGTATATTTAATCTTTTAACAGGTTAATTTTTAGGCTTGTCTTTGTCCATTCTATCTTTAGTTGGAGACAGAATTTCATAATTCCTTCCATAGGAGATGCAATATAAGAATATTGCATCCCCGGCCAAGCACTGGAGCAGAGACTCCCCATCTTGGTGCTATCCTGATGGTAGAAGCTTTATGTCACCCGCCTGGCAGACCAAGGAGAAACAGATCTTTTGAAAACTGTCCCCTAAAACTCTTGAGTTTTTCCCTCCTTAGCTAGTATACTCTATCCCTGGGATCCAGAAGTAGAGCCCACACAGTGAGCTGTTTTAATGAGTGAAAATGTTTTTGTGTCAAAGAAGTGTAAGAGGGAAGTAAACTTCAGATAAGTAAATTTCGTGTTATTTGGATAGCGCGGGAAAAATATAAAACACCACGTTCTTCCAAACGCATCCTAACTTACCACTTCCTTGTGACCCTAAACCTTGAGATTTTTTTTCTGTTCTAGATTCACAGTCCTTTTTCTGTTTTAGGTTCGGCTTCGTCCTGGTTAATTTCATACTTCCAGATCTTCAAAAAGACCTGGGGAGGATGGCTTTGCCACAGTTTATATTGTGAACTCTAATTGCTAAGTCACTTTTTAAAAAGATTTTATTTATTTAATTTTAGAGAGAGGGGAAGAGATGGAGATAGGGAGAGAATCATCAATGCGTGGTTGTCCCTCACATGCCCCCTACTGGGGACCTGGCCCGCAACCCAGGCACGTGCCCTGACTGGGAATTGAATCAGCGACCCTTTGGTTCGCAGGCCAGCACTCAACCCACTGAGCCACACCAGCCAGGGCGCTGAGTCATTTTTTTAAATGGTAAAAATAACTAGATCTTGGCGTGGAAGTGATAAGGAAGAAAAGGAGCTAATTTCCTTAAATTAATTATTTTTCAAATAGCTTTAAACCCATATTTTCTCAGTGTAGACAAACTTCATATTCTCTGGGACTTTCTGAACCCACGGTCCAGATGGGTTTAATTGTTGTTCATTAACACTCTCAATCAAGAATGTGGACTGTTTATTTTATATCATCTTTCAAATGTTATATATGTGTATATAGTTTAATCCTCACCTGAGGACATGCTTATTGATTTTGGAGAAAGAGAGGGAGAGAAACATCTGTGTGCAAGAGAAACATCAATCAGTTTTCCTCTTGTATGTGCTCTGACCACGGACTGAAACCACAACCTAGGCATGTGCCCTGACCAGAATTTGAACCCCAGACCTTTTTGTTTATGGGACAGTGCTCCAACCAACTCCAACCTAACACCAGTTAGGGCTGAATTTGATATTTTAAGTTTTCAAAGAGTGGGAATCATGTGTATGATAACATGAATATGAATTGACCATGCTGTTAGATTAACCAGTATAACACCACTTTATTTTTTTTAATGGAATACACATTCAAGCAAAGACCAAGAGAGCGATACTCAGGATGCCTTCCAGTTGTCTTCACTGTATGTAGGCCTCTTTGGCTCCAGAAATATTACTGTCGTTTTTTCTGACACAACTCCACAAACAACAAAATAATTTGGCTACTGATTTACTAGTTTGCTTGATCAGTAAATTTTTATCAGATGCTACATTGGGTACTAGTCACTAGGTCAAGGAAATAGCAATTTTGTCTTGTAATTTTAAGAGGGGAGGAGGTGTTAGAGAATTGGAGTACTTATTTCTTTGGTTTGTCTTCTCTTCCCATTGGAAATCAGCTCAGTATTGGACATACACAGAAGAAAATAGTTGGCTATACAATTGGGCTAACATTATTAACATATGGTTAGTATTGCACTTTAGACAAATAAATGAAGTTATCTTCAACATGGGTGATAATGAATGGGTAGCTTTTCATTCATAAATAGTATGAATGGTTTTCTTTTTCTCAAAACTTTCAAGGTAAAAGGTAATTTTATCTCGTTATACTAGTTCAAGTTTATGTAGAACCTATTTACTATTTCTTTATAAAAGTAACACATGCATATTAAAAAATTTGGAAACAGAAAAGTATAAGGAGTAAATAATATTTACTGTGTAATCACTTTATAGTGTCCCAGAAAATTTTAGGTATATAAAGGTTTATATTCCAATTCTGATAACTTTTTCTATTTGAAAAATACATAAATGCTAATAAGAGCAAAGCAAACCCAGTGGCACCATTAAAATGGTTGGATGTGTCCGAAGAGAATTAATTTGTTCTAGCCATCTATTTTTTAATTGATCATACTGTACAAACCTTTTAATCCCCCATCTCATTGTAAAATATTTTGAGTATTTCCCACTTCAGTAATATTCTTCTGCAATGCAGGTTTTTTTAATAAAAAGAATTTATTTATTTATTTATTTTTAAAGAGGGGAAGGGAGGGAAAAAAACTCCATTGGTTATTGCCTCTCATACGTGCCTGGGCTGGGGACTGAACCGGCAACCCAGGTATGTGCCCTGATCAGAAACCAAACTAGTGACCTTTGCTTTGCACAGTGATGCCCAACCAGCTGAGCCACAGTTTTTAATTGCTGCACTGTATTTCCGTTGTGTGGGTATACTGTAATTTTCTTAATTCCCTATTTTGGAGCATTTAAGTGGTTTCCCCATTTTTTGTTTTTGTTTTGTTTATTTGTTTGTCTTTGCTGTTACAAATGACAACTTGTATGCATCCCTGGTTATTTTTTTAAATACACATTTTTTCCAGTTTAACATAGAACCATTTTTCTGTGTCACCAAAAATTCATTTTAAGTATTATATGCTAATGTGGATAAATCAGTTTGGTTTTTTTGATGGATTAAGACTCAGATTTGGTTTTGGTAAATGGATCAATATCTGCCATAGTTATATGTTTTTTAAAATGATCATGAGCAACAACAAAATAATCGGTAGCCAACCAACTACTATCCAAGTCCAAGAACAACAGAAATTGTCAAATACTGAGAATAATAGCAAGGACTTAGTAGGATGAATGTATCTTTAGCAAATACTTGAGTTTGGTTTTATCCATGTGTAAAAGCTCAAGCCCACCAGGAAGCTAAGGTATTCAAGACCCTAGTGATACCTCCATGCTGAGTGCAGTGCTCACATTCAGCTACTGTCTGCATTTCTCATTGTTTAAAAACAAAAACAATGCCCCCACCCTCCCACATCCCCCCCAAACCTGGGAGTGGAACTGTGGCTCTGAGACTTGAAGGGAAGGGATAAACAGGTCTCTGTTTGCACAGTAAATATCATTCCTTTTGCATAACCTATGTTCTCATCTGGCAATTGATTTTATATTTGTTCCAGCCATCTTGGTGGTGGAATCTGTGCTACATCAAAATGAATGATAGTAAATTAGTACCGAGAGAAGATAATAGAGATGAAATCATTTTCATGCTTGTAAAACTGAGAGTTTGGGTGATGAAGTCAAGTCCTCCAGGTGCGGTTGCGTTTGTGTTTGCTGTCCGTCATAGCACACAGCAGCAGTGCTGACTACAGTATGTCTTTTTCTAAGACATTTTATCAGTGACTCTTTTAAAAAAATTTGTATTAAATGTATTGACATTTACACTTTCATGATACAAAATCTACGTATGGCACTATGTGCCCGCTACCCTGAAGTTAAACCACCTTCTGCCAGCATATATTGGGCCCCTCGACCCCACCCCCCACACAGTTACCCTTCGTTACTGTGTTTCATAGGATTTTCTCTCAGCAGGTTTATTTTTTAGCCATTTTAAAAATGGTTTAAAATAAATTACTTACTTAAACTTTTTTCTGTAATTACTTTCGTTTGTAGGATGAACTTTCTGATGTTAGCCAAGGAGGATCTAAAGCCACCACCCCAGCATCAACAGCCGCTTCAGATGTGGCAGCGCTTCCTACTGATACTCCCTTGAAGGAAGATACTGAAGGATTTGCGAAGGCTGCAGATACACCGAATACGTCAGAGATAAGCAAGCACATTGAAGTACAAGTAGCCCAGGAAACTAGAAGTGTATCAACAGGTACGGAATCCTGGTGCTTTACTTATTAGCAGAGTGTTCAATAAATCTAGATGATGTGGGTGTGAGAAAATTCATCATTGGGTTGTTGGTGCTTTGGACCTATTAAACAAATAAACAAACAAACAAATCATTGTGCTCCGTTATAAATAAGCTTAAAGAGCTGATGATTGAATAAAGTTTGGAGAGAAAGCTGTTGGGGGTTGGAAGGTTGGAGAGCCCGAAAGGTAGGAGGATTCTGTTGTTCTGCCCCTGCCTCAGATCGTTAGTCTTTGTCTTCAGGCTCTGTGCATCCCACCCCTTAAATAGGAAGGAGCACAGGGAGTTCTGGCCTGGGATACCCTGAACTCTGTCCCGAGAAATACAATAAAAACTTTGATTATTTATTAGCTTCTGATATTGTTAATTGAATATATGACATATTGTCTTACACTATGTTTCCTAGAATCCACTCTTCAAAAAAAAAATTTTATGATCAAATTATGTATTTGCAACCACAGAAACAACAGAATTTTCATATTAGGGATAGTATGTAATATACTCATGATTTGTGTCATCTTGTCCCTTATTAGGCTCTGTGGAAAATGAAGAGAAGTCAGAAGTTCAGGCGATCATTGAATCCACTCCTGAGCTGGACATGGACAAAGATCTCAGTGGATATAAAGGCTCAAGGTGCTGTAAATGTCAGATTAAGACATTTTATTCCTCTTTTCCCTCTTGCAGAAGTATACTGTTGTTCTCTGGTCTCTCACCGGACACAATGCACTTCAATAAATGTCTTGCTGAAGAATTTTGGTATTTACGTTTTTGAAACTGGACTTGCACGTGGTTTAGATGTTTTATGAGATGCTGCCTTTGCGGACTCAGGTATTAGGAGAATGCCGAAGAACAGGGGGAAAGGGCAGCCAGAGGGCACCCCATACATTCCGGAACTTCAGGACATGTAGGAGCAGGAGTGGGGAATTAACAATTTGCGCGAACTTTGTTCCCTCTCAAGATCAGGAAGAAGAGAGTGTACTCCCTTCAGAAGTGTAATGGTCTCATTACTGGGAGAAATTTATCTCAGATTACATGGGGAGGATGTTTTGTGGTGGGAAGAAAATGGTTATTTATCATCTTAATTGAGGTCATGGAAATAGACTGATGTTTAAGGATGTCAGACAGGGGCTACTGCCTTTTAATTTCTTCTATAAATTTTATTCTTTAATTAATTAATAATGACCATTAAAAATGCATGTTCTTTGTTGATCACTGCTGGTATTATGCCGTATGCAGTCATGGTTGAAAGCCTGAGCCTAGGGTAAGGCTGTGTGGGTTCAAATCCGCACTGGATTTGAATCTGATTTGTAAAGCCGTTTATAAAGTCATTCATCAAAGGACTTTGTAATAATACCTCAGATGGTTGTGAGACGTGAATGAATCAGTATATGTTCAATCACCAGCAAAGTGCCCGGTTCAGTACGTTAGCTAATATTATCAACATCATTATTGTACACAATTCATTGTTTGATGCTCTGTGCCTGTTTTGTTCACACTTAATGACTTACTCTTCATTTCATTTCTTGCCGGTAACATTTAAACTTGGCTTCCATTATTCAGGGAGCTGTGCTGCAAGGAGGGAGGCCTGAGCCTTCCTGAGGATTGGACCCAGTTCTCATACTCCTGCTTCTGTCGCTTTCATCCCGTCCTGTTTTGTATTCCCCCGTGCACGCTCCTCTCTGCAGATCGCTGGTTCCCTCATTCCTGGGCTTTGCAGGGATTTTGGCAGTTTACTGACATCCTCCCTAAACCCTACTGGCTTGGGTGTCAGTTTTCTCTTGTCTGTTAAACCAGTTTTTACTCTTTGCCCATCTGTTTGCCATCTTACAGAGTTTTGTTCAGATTTCGTCTGCTCTAATTTCTTTTTCTATTCTGTATGTCCTGTGGGTCCTTTTTAATTTCTTTACTGTGACTTCAGTTCAATTTTGAATTATTAGGTGATCAGTGACTATTTGGTTCACCATGTTTAATTGGAAATCTTGCATAGATTCTTTTCGATTACTGTAACATTAATGTACAAACGTACATGCACCTTCCCATTTCTCTCCTATAAACTCCTACAAAAAAGGATTATATTATACATACTGTTTTCCTATTAAAAATAGCTTTATATAGTGGATTTCTGTAGTTTATAAAGCTCTATTCTAATGGTTTTAATTTTATATATATCCATAACTTCATCTGTGCCCTACCTAGTAACTCGGGTTGCTATAGTAGGTGTTGCAACTATAAAAATGCTGTGACCACTCCTCTTGTGACAGGGTTTTTATAGGATATTTTCTTAACATTGAATTCTTGGCCCGGTGGGTGTGGGTATTCACGTTTTAAAAGAAAACCAAAACAGCCACGCCAGTTTATAACCAGGCAACATTGAACATAGTAGGTAAGGTCATGGATTCTGAAGCCAGACTGCCTGTGTTTGAATCCTGCCTCTTTCCTTCATTTGCTGGATGATTTCAGCAAATTTGTTAACCTCTTAGTTTCCTCTTCTGTAAAGCTGGTGTAATAGCAGCACCTGTTTTGTAGAATAGGCGTGAGACTTCACCAAAGTAGTATATGTAAAGTACTCAGAGATTGCCTGGATCGGAACAGAGCAGTGCTGTTAGCTGCCATCCTGTCTGCTGGGATCTCACTGCAAAGGCATTGCTTCTTCACTGGTTAGTTATCTCTGTGGACTTTAATGGGGGCTTCTTAGGAAATCTTTTAAAATCATGTTTTGTATTACTTGGAAGTTATAGGTAAAAAATTTTGTATGTAACTTAGCCTATTGTATTCATTAGCACTTAAAAAGTCTTTGTAGTATTTGTTGATTTGGTTTTGTTTTTTTTTGTTGCACAGCACTCCCACCAAAGGCATAGAGAACAAAGCTTTTGATCGCAACACAGAATCTCTGTTTGAAGAACTGTCTTCAGCTGGCACGGGCCTAATTGGAGATGTGGATGAAGGAGCAGACTTACTAGGTATGATAGCTTAGCTGAAAAAATATCATGCTGTTTTAAACATAGATTTTTTTAATGATTTAATTGAAAATTCCTTTACAGTGTCCACAGCTGCTTAGTGGTGCAGTTATTGTACCTTTAGGTAATTAATAGGAATGTATTCTTTGAGAACATGAAGGTTTTAAATGAAAGCATCTTTGCATATGGATATGCCTAAAATCGAGTTGCGCTTAAATTTGTATTTCAGATTCATAGAACACAATTTATAGAATGCTTGATGTTTTTTGAGACAGTATTACACAGAAGGAACACAGTGATATGTGTGTGTGTATAGATGTATAGATTTATGGCTAGTTAGTTCCTTGCTCAAATAGGTTTCATTAAATTTTGTTGACCTTGCCCTGGCCAGTGTGGCTGGGTTGTTTGGAATGTTGTCCCATAAACCGAAGGGCTGCGGGTTTGATTCCCAGTCAGGACACATGCCTAGGTTGGGGGTTCGGCTCCTGGTAGGGGCTCTTGCAGGAGGCAACCGATGCCTGTCTGTCTCTCTCCATCTCTCCCCCCACCCCACCGCATCCCTGCATCTCTCCCCCTTTCCCCTCTCCCCTCCCTTCTCTTTCTCTCTGAAATAAAAAAAAAAAATTATGTTGACCTTAATTATATGTGAAATTAAATACTTGGTTTTTCTCAGATTTCACTGAGTATTCTGTTTTAGCTTTATGGGAAATGTAATAATTTCAGAATGTGTGTTGTTGAAGAACATCTGCTTTGAAAAGAATAGTGCAGCAGCTGTTCTGTGTATCTGGTGACCTCTGCCAGATAACCTGTCTGGGCCTTGGTTTCCGTGTGTATAAAAGGAAGAGGATGGACTCTGTTTCTGGAGTTGGGCAAACTGTAGCTCATGGGCCAAATCCAGCTTACCTCCCGTGTGTGTGAATAAAGTTTTATTGGAACAATGTCACACTCATTTGTTTATTGTCTACAGTTGCTTTTGCACTACAACAGAAGACTTAAGTAATCTGCAGCAGAGATCATATGGCTTCAAAGGCCTAAAATATTCACCATCTGACCCTGTAGAGAAAAAGTTTGCTAACTCCTATTCTAGGTCATCTCTGTAAAGGCCCTTTCAACAGCAGGCCATGACTCTGACGCATGTCAAATAGCTTTTGTGTGCCTTTTCTTATAACTTAAGACCTTACAGAAATTGAAAACCTTGTGGTATTTTTAAAAGTCTGTGCTTCCATGTTAGTTACTAATTACCGGTTACGTACTTGACAGTTTGAAGTATTCTTCTGAAGGAGACATAAGTTCTGTATAAACAGAGCTTCTAGTCTATCTAGTAAGAGATCAGAAGTATATAAGTAAACGTATTTTGTGTTAGACATGGGCTGCCATTGTTGAAGTCTAAGAGAGGTCAAATGTTGGAACTGAGTGAGTTTGCTTTTCTCAAGGAGAGCCAAAGGGTTCATTCATAAAGAATACTCCATTTTTACAAACAAGCAAAATGTAACCAAGGCCACTGAAATTGAGAACAGGCTGACAGTGACCAGAGGGGAGACGGGAGGGAATTTAGGGGAAAAGGGTGAAGGGTTTGCAGGAACAATTATGCAGAGCACATGGACAGTAACAGGGGTGGGTGGAAACGGGAGGGAGGTGGGGAGGGCTTGGGTGTTGGGCTGGGGTCGGGGGGAAAGGCAGAAAGCTATACTTGAACAACAATTTTAAAAATACTGAATTTTTACATTTAAATTTATGCTTTAACTTTATTTAATATTAAATTATGCACGAAAAGTTCCTTTAAGATTTGATTGGTTTAAGAAACTGACTCTCTGGCAAAATTGAGGGACAGAAGTAAAAAATGCAAGAAAGGAGAAGTTTTAAATGTTTAGATTTAGATTCAAATTTATATATAGTAAAATTCACTCTTTGGTGAGTATTTTGAGTTTTAACAATGCATAAAGTTGTATAACTACCACCAGAATCATATACATCACCCCAAAAATGTCCTTCATGCTGCCCCATTGAATTTAACTGGAATGAAGTACTTTTTAAAGTAGTTTCTACACTCTGCTGCCTCACTGTCCAATATTGAGTAATCTAATGTTTGAACATGTTAGCCCAAACTTCTTTTTTTATAAAGAGTTAAGAAGTCACATAGTACTTAGAAGTAATTGTAGTCTTCTAAATCAAGTTTTTTCCTGAAGGCTTTCATCTTTACGATAAAAATTTAAGCATAGTAAATAGATTAAAAGCAAAATTAAAATACTGTGCTTTTCTTGCCACTTTGAAAAATAAGGAATAGACCGTAAATTGCTATCTTTTTTCTTTTGCAGATATTGCTATGTTTATTTCTAGAATGTTTCAAATCAGAAGATTTAAAAATATTACCATAGGTGTAGCAGCTTATGCCTACATGAACACTTCCGGTCAGTGCTAGTACATGAACTTTCCAAGGCAGTTATTTGTTCACGGCTTCCGGGCAGCTCAGTGGCAGCGTCCAAGGTCTCATACTCACTAAGTGGAATGTAGCTGAACTAACCAAATTGTGTTCCAAGTTGCAGTGATAGGACTTGGGCTGGTGAATAAGTACATGGCCCATTTCTATAACTCATTATTCATTTTTCTAATTACATTATTATAAAACTTTTCTTGTTTAAGGCTATAAAATTTTTATGATCATTATTCATGTACACAGTGCTTATATTACTTTTTTCTGATTTTAATAATTTAAAAGTGGTGACCCCTCACAATTTGACCTTTATCTTGATTGGTGTCTCATCCCCTGACTTTCTTATTTTTGTTTACCCCTTTTTCCATTCACTTTAGTTACTTATTCCCCATGGCCACATTCTGGAACTTAGAAATCATACTTTCATGCATCCTAATGTTGGGGTTTTCTTTCTCTTGATTATATTCTATATTTTCTACTTCTGCATCTTTGTTAACTTCTTCTATTATCATTTAAACATGTTCAGGCCTTTACCATTTAAAAATAAAAACACTGGCCTGGCTGGTGTAGCTTAGTGGGTTGCACATCATCCTGCTGTAACTCACAGCCCCGGCGGGTGTGGCTTAGTGGATTGAGTGCCAGCCTATGAACCGAAAGGTCGCTGGTTCAATTCCCAGTCAGGGCACATGCCTGGGTTGCAGGCCAGGTCCCTGGTTGCAGGCATGTGAACAACCGATTGATGTATCCGGCACACGTTGGTATTTCCCTCCCTCTCTTTCTTCCTCCCTTTCCCCTCTTGTAAATACATAAAATCTCTTTAAAAAGCGGTATTGACAGTTTCTGTTAAAAAAGAAAAGGCTTCTTAGAAGTATGGCTACTTTTAAATGGCAGGGTTCCCCAAGTTCCACTTGCGTCTTGGCCAAGTGCAGTCTGCATGAGCGTTCTACGCCACACTCACCGGGCTTGAAACAGCCTTGTGTGCTGTATCCAGCAGCTCCTCTGTCATTTCACGTGACTTCTCAAATGGCCTTTAAAACTGTCTTTGCTGGGTTTTGTAATACCAGACTCTCCTGCACTCTTTTCTGCCTCTGAGTAGTGTTCCTTTTCATGGGGCTTTGCAGGCTCCTCTCCTCTACCCACCTTTCAGACACGATGTTCCTGTCCCAAGGCTGCTTCTTTAGGAGATTTGCTCTTGTTGTTTCCTGGCTTTCATGTCTAATTGTTCCAAAGTTTTCATCTCCGTCCAAGATCTTTTTCTAGAGCCCCAGACCATCACTTTCAAACAGCCCACAGGCAGCTCTTATGATCTCTAGAGCTTTCTACTTGCTGTGTTTAAAATTCAGTTCATCATCCTCTGTATTGTTCTGTCCCCTAAGGTTCCTCCTGTACCAGCTTGTAGTAATTCAGTGAATGAATGCCCTCACCGTCCACTCAGTTCTTCATTCTAAATCTCTCCTTTCTTTCCTCACAACCAATCATAAAGAACTCTTTGCTCCCTTTCTTTTAAAAAAAAAAAATACACACACACACACCGTGTATTTTTTGGACTATAAGATGCACCCCCTCCCCAATTTGGGAGAAATAATGGTAGTTAATGCTGTTGTTGTGTTCTGTTTACATTTACACTGGTGAAATATTATGTTATTTATGTTACTAAATATTTTACCACAACTTTTTGCTTCAAAAAATGTTTCCCTATTTTCCTTCTCTAAAACAGAGGTGTGTCTTATGGTCCAAAAAATATGGTATATCTACCTCCGTCTTACCTCCATCTTGCATCTTCCCAGAATTCCTCTGGGAATTCTGTCCTGTTCCTCTACTTAAGGCTTAGTTGTCCCTGAAATGTATTTCCATAGCACTGTGTTTTGTTTATTATGCCACTCTTCATACTTCACTGTAATTTTTTATGTGCCTGTCTCCTTGAATAGACTATATGTGACCAAGACAACTGTGTCTTTTCCTCACTATTGAGTCTTCAGTACGTTGGGTAGCAACTAGGTGAATGGATTCCTACATAGTTCTGCCAGTTTTGTTTCACCTCTAAATCTGTGATTTTTCACCTTTTGGAATTAAAACTCTTTTACTGGAGAATTTGTGAGAGATCAGTATACTTTTAGAAAAATGCCCACATAGAACTAGATAAAATTCTGTGTACTTTCTCAAGAGATTAACAGATAATCCGGAAGCTCACCTATGGACTAACTTGAGACTCAAAGTTAAAATCCAAATGAGGTATCTATGATTTTGAAAACTGTCAGGCAGTTTTTTTTACTTGTTTTAATAGTAAAGTTTCCAGATATGTTAGACCTAAGTTTATGCTTGATTGAAGTCTTGAATAGAAATGGGGCCACTTCAAGTTATGTTTTCCTTTTGGTTACAAGTTAGTGTTTATCAAATATTTTAAAGTGAAAACTTTGGACAATTCTTTTGATATATTAAATTTATGAACTAAATTTTTAAGAGAATTTTCATTGGGAGTATATAAACTTTAGAAACTACATTGTAGGATATGATTCCCATGTATTTCATTTTTTTATATTTAAAATATGTATACTTTATTGTGTTTAGTTAATGATTTCTTCACCTTTTGAATTTTATTGTCTCCTCTCTCTCATTTTGAAATAAATGAGTGTCAATCTTGCTTTCTGAAAATGATCTAATTGAGATTCTTTCATTTTGCTCTTGGGCTGCTTACCCAGGGGAATACTCTGGTGTGTATGCTCTTAAACACTTCAGTGTGCTGCTTTCTGAGCTAGGTGCTCTTGGCTGCTGTTCTCATTTAATGCTTTCCCATCTTTTTTTTTCTGCTTAGCTATTTTTTTGTGCCTTGCAAATATTTGCAGCTTTTATGCTTATCTCCCTGTACGCTTGAGAATGTATAGCAAATGTAGTCATTATAGAAACTTTTTAAAACAAATCTAAACTTTATTTCTTCTGATTCTATAGCTTTATTGAAAAGTTAACATCAGTGTTTAAAGCAAACATTTCAGCATATCTTGCTAAATTTTATTTTGGGATTAGAATATGGAAACTTTTTTAGTTCTTCTTTGTCTTTGGTTTTGGAGAATATAGAGATAATTAAGCACTATTTTTAATATTTAAATTTTTATGGTAGAAGTATCTTAATCTTTGAGAATATTTGAGATCATTATAATATGGACAAAATATGAGTCCATATGTGAGAATTGAATTTTTAGCATTCCTATTTGAAATATTTGAAACATTTTAAGTATTACCTTGTTTTTTTAAAATAAGGGGATATATTAGCTCCTTTACATAGTCTTCTTTGAAATAAACAGGAATCTATATTTTTTCCTGTTTAGCTGGTTATGAATATTACTTACTCCATTGTATGTAATTTTCTAACATTAGCTTAGGGTTAAGTGAGCTAAACTTATTATGGTCTTGGTTTTGTTTTTCTTTGCTTTCTTTGTTTTTGAGACTTTTTGATATATATTTTCTAGTGTGTTCTTTTATTTCTTCTGTTTCTGTTGAGGAATAAGTTAAATAGCTTTCTTCTCCCTAAAGATCGTTACACTTGATCTTGCATTGAATGCTCTACCTGCCTACCTTACAGTGCTCATTAAATTGTTAAACACAATTCTGTAAAGTGACAACTGAACATTATCATTTCAGATGTGACACTTTGAAGGAAACTTATTGATCTGGGGTTTTTGATCTCGTTCAATTTTATTATGCAAAAGAATTGGTAAAGCATTTTTTAGGCGTAAGCTATCAGAACATCCTTATGAATGAAGAAAATCATTGTAATATCTGTCTTATGCACATCATTATGCATTAAGTCATAGCATTGTGATTCCAGATGTTTTTCATATCATGCATAAAACTTTACAGATTAACGATCTATTTTCATGCTGTTTCTTACATAAAACATTTCTTGTTCTTTGTTTTTGCTTTACATGGAATGCATGGGCTTTAAGACCATAATTTCTTTGGTAAGGTTTCATCTGCATTGGGGTTTCGTCTTTCTCTGGCCCTGTTTCTGCCAATTCTCTATGAATAAGGCCTGCTTTTTAGGGAAAAGCCTAAAATACCAGCCTGTGATTTGGAAATGATTTCTGATCCATATTAATGCTGTTCCCTTTTTCCCCAAAATGCTGTTACATTTTGGAATATTTGGCAGAAAAATCTTGATCCTTTTGAAATACTCAGAAAATAGAGACTGTTATAAAGCATTGGCTAACAAAATCTATAGCTTTGTTTTTTGATGGAAAACTATAATTTTATAATCCATTCAAGTAGTTATATCAAGTGGAATTATGGACAAAATGAGATTACTAAAGGAGATACAGTATAAAATCAAATTTACAACTATAGCTTATAAACTGATTTAGTTTTTGATACATTTATTTTCAAAGTTTTTATCCCTTTTCTTTTGCTAGGCATGGGTCGTGAAGTTGAGAATCTTATATTAGAAAATACACAACTGTTGGAAACCAAGTAAGTATATATAAAATCTTATTATTGAAGAAAACGTACTGAATTTTCTTCCTGCCCAAGTCACTGGCACTTCTTCAATTCAGCACAGCACCGACACGTCTCACTCCCCCATCTTCTCCTCTTTCTCTGTGTGCGGCTTGTGCACGTCCACACACATACACGGACGAGCAAACAGGTCACAGGACCCAATTTCTCAGATGAATAGTTTTCATTGCTCAGTCGTGTGCAGATATTCGTTCCACTTTATACGTATTAATGTTCTGGATGTGTCCTGTGTGTGTTTTGCTCTTTCCTGAGAATATCTGTCTTCTTACCTCTTTTCCTGTGGTTTCTTTTATTTCTGCATGAACACTTTGCCCTGTACCCAGCCCACTTCTTTGGAGTTCCTCAGCATGGTTGCAGGTTCCTCGGTACAATAGTGTGGTCTTAGGTCCTCAGACACAGTAGAGTCTTGTTTATTGGGTAGGTTCTGTCATCTGGAGAACGTCAGGGCCCACCGTTAACTTGTTGTGCTGGAGCAACTTTGGAACATTTGTGTACATCCAAAACAGAACGTGTCTCTGAGGTCGTGTGCCCACTGTACCCAAAAGAAATTAGATCTTAGATTTTTTTTTCTAGGTCAGACATTTTTCTCATTAATTATTAAAGTTAAATAGAAGGATTAATTTTACTTAATCGATTAGGTAATATCTTCAGAACTTATAACAATAGAACACGTACGGATGCTATCTGACAGTTGATTTGTTTCTTTTTAACTTTACAAGTAACATTAGGTAGAAGGCCTTTGAAGTATTCAGTTATTCAGCTTTATGATCGTATATTTAGTCTACAAGAGAATAACCTGAAAGAGGGAAAGAATATTTATTTGTAATGATGCACCTCAAATATGTGTTTCCTAGAAATGCTTTGAATGTAGTGAAGAATGACTTGATAGCAAAAGTGGATGAACTGACCTGTGAGAAAGATGTGCTGCAAGGGGAGCTGGAGGCTGTGAAGCAGGCCAAACTGAAGTTGGAGGAAAAGAACAGAGAGTTGGAGGAAGAGCTGAGGAAGTAAGTGTCCGCTGTGCTACTCCAAACCTGTCTTTGCCAGTGGGCCCAGCGCTGCCTGGGGTGGGCTGAAGTGCCCATCTGATTGCCTCTGCTGTGAGCACGCCTCTCCATCTACTGAGTGTCAGCATTTTTTATGTTTGTTATGATGCGAGAAAAGTTAGAAGTGTTCAAATATTGCTAATAAGGAAATTAGAAGCATTTGTTATTTTCTTTCACCCAGCCTTCTTAATACTGGTTTTGTTTTGTTTTTTCCTAGTACAGTGCTATGAGTTTCCTGGTACATTCTCCTAAATCAAGGCAGCTAAATAATCATTTAGTGGTGGTTAAATTTTATCTACTCTTTAATTCTTTGAAAAGATGAACTCAACTCATATAACATGTTTTGTTTTTTCTTCCCGCTAGAGCTCGTGCAGAAGCTGAAGATGCAAGGCAGAAAGCAAAAGATGATGATGATGTAGGTTTACAGTCTTGGACTCATTTTCTTGCCGTAGATATTTTGATTTGGGGGCAGAAGTCTTGCTAATTAAGCTTTGGATAAAATATTATAAAGATTTTTTTTTTAAAGTCAGAAGACATATTTGTGGGCAGGAATAGGAAAGCTTATGCTCCCGTGGTACTTGAATGCAGACGTGCTCTCCCGGCATCTCCGCAATGTGCGTGTTTCCCCCCGGGGCTCCGCTCTGAGCACGTTCAAGCACCTGGGCCAACTGGGACATTTTTCGGTTTTTTTTTTTTTTATTTGGCTTCATAGTTTGACTTAGAAACATGAAAGCTAAATAACACAAATCATTTAACAGCATTAAACATAAAAAGATGAACTCTAGCATGTAATACTAGGCCACTAGCACATAATGTTGCCAACATATTTAAATACAAAGGAATAAATACAGTGGTACCTCAGAACTGACCATTAATTCATGCTAAACTTGAGACAAGTGCCAAACAGTGAAGCATTTTCTCTCGTGGGGTGGCATTGTGGATCACAGAACTTCTAGCAAGTGCCATGAGTCCCTGAGCAAGCGCCAAGTGCTGAAACTTTCTTTCCTATCAAAATGCATTGGGTACCGGATTTGATGAGTTCTGAAGCTGATGATTACCAAAGTGTGACTGTATGAGCTAATTGCCAGTATTCTTAGCATTCTAGTGCTTCTTTGGTAGCTAGGTTATCTTTCCTGTAACAGGTGTTTGCTACTTAAGCATCAGTCTTGAGATATATTGGTGTACTGGGCAGAATGACTAATTGGTACCCCTTCTATCTCTTACTTGTTTTTTAATGTAATATTTGATGTATAAAAATAAATATGTAATATAACTAAGTTACGAATAGTAACATTATAATAAATTAGCATTATAAATCCACTGCCCAACCTGAGAAATAGAACATTTTCAAACATTGAAGCTGCCTTGTGCTTCTCCCCTCCAGAGGAATCTGCTGTCCTATTTATCATTTTCTCACCTTAAGTAAAAATAATTTTGTCATACCATATATATGTATTCATACAAAGTATGGTTTAATTTTCATTGTTTTTTGCTTTTTATACCGTATTTAGTCTGGAATACCTGTGTCTTTTACCCACTATTATGTTTTTCATACTCACCTGTATTGTAGCTAGTACAGGTCATTCACATTCCCTGCTTTATAATGTATCCCATTATATGAATATACTACAGTGTACGTCTCTTTTCCTGTCAGTGAATGCTTCAGTTGTTTTCAGCTTTTTGCTTCTGCACACAGCGCTGTCTATGTGAACATCGCAATACAAGTCTCCTGGGTATTCCCAGACCTAGTACTGGGATTTCTGTATTGCAAACTCCTTTAATCATTTGTCGTTTGACTTTTACTGAAAGGACAGGCCAAGTTCTGTGGCAGGACAAAGGATGAGTCTTCTCTGAGCCTCTTTCTCAGTGACCCAAGCCTTTCAGCTTTGATCCAAAATGTGCATACTTTACTTGGCAAAACAAAAGCTTTCAGGGTAATCTGCTCCTCCTTTAGAAATCAGCAGTGGAAAGCAGTTGACCTGAGCATGCCTTTTTAGGGTTTCACCGCACTCTTATCACTTATTCTTCCTAACAAGGAGTCTTTACTACGTCGTCTTCATCTTGTATTTCTGTTGGTGTTTCAGTGACTCTTAGAGTTGGGTCCTTGGTAACTGGCCAACGAGTTTACGCTTCACGCTGGCCTTGGGGCAAATGGATCTATGGCTTGAGATACATGAACCCCCTTTGAAACTGACTGGTAACTAATTTCTGAATGACTAGCAGTTGTTATAGAACATGAATTTAAAATAATATTGTTAGAGCAACGTTTCCAGGTGAGCATATTAAATGTATATAGGAAATAGTGAACTTTTGGTTTTAGTTCAAAATCTGCACTGCTCTTTGTATTTCTCTTTATGTTCAAATATCTGTATTTATAATCAGAAATTAAATTGTCTGCCTTCTTTTGGTCATAATTAATTATTTAAATCTCTATCAATTTTATTTTTATAAGGTCATTTTTAAGTGATCCAGTAGATTAGAACTTAAGGGATGTTTAAAACCTTCAAGATTTTGCCTTAGTCTGAGATAATACCAAAACAGATACGGGCTCCCAGAGTGACCTGCGGTCTTCTTTTCATCGTAGAGCGATATTCCCACGGCGCAGAGGAAGCGGTTTACTAGAGTAGAAATGGCCCGAGTTCTAATGGAGAGAAACCAGTATAAAGAGAGACTGATGGAGCTTCAGGAAGCTGTTCGATGGACAGAGATGATTCGGTTTGTATGAGGAGCGCCTCTGGTGTTTTTCTAATATTGTTTCCTAGTTTTGGGTGTTTCTTCATTCAGATTGAGAGTCCTGCCTTTGGGGATCCAAGCCCCTTGCTCTGTTTCCTCAGAGAGACTTTGTAAAGTGACACTTGGAATTAATTAGTAACAGATTGCAATCAAAGTGGGTGCCTTTGGGGCCAGTAAAGGGCTCTTGGAGAATGCTCCCGCAACCTCTAACCACACTCTTATGACTCAGGAATGATGTTCATTTTTCAGAAGACAACTGGCACTACTTTTGCAATAATATCAGGAAAATACAAGAATTTCATATGCCACAGGAAACAATCATTTTTTACTCAGTGTCTTCCTGTAAAATGCTCTTGCTGGATTTCCCTTCCCTTTCTGACTGACTGCTCATGCAGAATCCCACTTCCCTTGAGATCTTTGTCAGTTAGATCTGAAGTCTCACCTCCAACACTGCCATCTAAGGGTCAGAGTCTAGGTAACAATACGCCTTTTTTTAAAAAAAAGATTTTATTTATTTATCTTTAGAGGGGAAGGGAAGGAGAGAGGGAGAGAAATATCAATGTATGGTTGCCTCTCATGCATCCCCTGTGTGGGGAACTGGCCTGCAACCCAGGCATGTGCCTGGATTGGGAATTGAACCTTGATCCTTTGGTTCGCAGTCCTGCACTCAATCCACTGAGCTACACCAGCTAGGGCACAATATGCCTTTAATTTAGGAACAGCGTATAAAAAATTTGGAAACTAGTTAACCTCTCATTTGTCCATGTTTTTGAGTTTGGACTGTCACTTCAGCTTTACCAGTAAATCTGTACTGGTTTCTCTGTGCTATTGTACACACACACAGATTCTTCCACAGTTTACGAGCATGTCTTCTGACCTCCCTCAGTTCCTTCCTTATGATCACATCAGTTTAGCGGTGTATATCTCCTTTACAAGGGTTATACTAGAGTTCTGTAGAGTATGTACAGTTTGCTAAAAGTATAGTCGTGTATGGCTTCCAAGAAGGAAGGAGGTTAGTATTCTCATCTTTATTTATTGTACAAAAAAAGAATGTCCTAAGAAATGTGTTCTCAACTCCAGCATTTAATGGGTAGTAAATAAATAAAGTGAAAATAAATGGTAGCTTATTTTTAACCTTTTCCATTGAATTAAAAGATGTAATTCAGTCTTTTTTGAAAAAGTGAAAGGAGGGCTCTCATAGTGGTGGCAGAACCCTTATCGTCTTACCAAATCAGTTTGGGATGCCTTATCTTCTGAAATGTTGTTGAATTATACCTGTCAGTCTAGTTTATCCCCTTCTCTGGTCATTTTTTCAGTGATGGAAAAGTTTTAGTCCCATGAAAAATGACCCGAACAGTAAAATTATAAGCTACTTTGTGAGAGCCGAGAATACAGATGATGCAAACCTTTGTGCAAAGGCAGGGATTTACAAGGCTGTATGTTGATAAAAGGGAGAGAGGTAGAGCTCGCTATTCAATAAAAATTTTTTAATATTAACATTCAGCACTGGCTGGTGTGGCTCAATGCAGGCCTGTGAACTGAGAAGTCCCTGGTTCAATTCCCAGTCAGGGCACATACCTGGGTTGCTGGCCAGGTCCCCAGTAGGGGGCATGTGAGAGGCAACCAATTGATGTTATCTCTCGAACATCAATGTTTCTCTTCCTCTCCTCCTCCCTTCACCCCTCTCTAAAAGTAAATAAATATAATGTTTAAAAAGAAAATTAACATTCAGGCATGTGGCCTATCTGCCCAGCACAGGTAACCATCTTCTCTCTCGGATCGTGCTCTTTGCGGGAAAGATGGTGGTTCAGTTGCAGCCTTAGCAGACTGACTGACGCCGTAGCTCAGTAGTATTTTAGTAAATTCAGTTGTTGACGCTCCTCATATCCCATGAACTTCTTTGGTCCTTGCTTCTTAGGAAGCTGGAACGCCTCACTGATAAGACATTTTTGTCTTTTTCTTTCTTTTTTTAATGTAGAGCATCAAGAGAAAATCCAGCCATGCAGGAAAAAAAAAGGTCAAGCATCTGGCAGTTGTAAGTATCTTAAAGCACACGAAGACATTAGATGGCCTTGACTTATAGTCAGAGTTCATTGTCAGGAATGATTTGATACCTCCCCTCTTCCTCATTTCCCCCTCCCTCTCTTTCTTGAGTTTGGGGAATAGAGCTAAACCGAACCTTTTCTTTTTTGATATGTAGCGTGCCGGCTCGGTAAGGCTGTTCTCGAGGACAGAAATAATGCTGTCGTAAGCTGCATCCTTTTGGTTGTGTATTTGATGGAACCCTCTGATAAGTTAAATAAAATAGCAGGGAATTATTCATAGAGTTGATAACTACCTGGACCCCTGTTACTAAGGACTTACTCACTGATTGTGTGATTGTAAAGAACTTTACAAAGCAAAGTTTAGAGATGCAGCGGTTGTGGGGTCTGAGTAGTGTGTGTGTGTGTGTGTCAGTTTTGGACTTGAACTGTGTTCATGCCAGAAGTACGTGTGTTTAGTGTGAACACTTACCACCCCTTTTTGGTGAATCTATTATTGAATAGAAGTATTGGTTTTTTTGAGTGAGTGTGAAGATAATTATTTAAATTTATTTTAATAAGAAAATGTGTAAGGTGTGTGTTAAAATGGTAATGAGTGTTCTTATACTTTACTGTAACTGTTTTTAGAACTGATGCACTAGACTTCTTTTCAAACCATGCAGCCAAAACCTTGCTGTTTAACACTACTACATCTTCATGTGTTTCTTCGTTACGAGACGTTCTGGTACTTCAGAGTTGCTTCCTTTCATTACGGGAGTTGCTCATTAAAGAACAGGGGTCCTATGCTGAGCAGTGGTTTCTCTTTCCTGAGTGTCTGCTTTTGGCTGCATTTGGCTGTGAGTTATTGCTAAGGCTGCACTGTGTGACTACAAAAAGAATTTTTTTTGTTGGTTTCTAATTCAATGGCCTTGTAAAAAGCACTCTGGAATTTGTGGGAAATTATGGATCGTTCTTTATGGTGCATGTAATGCGTGCACAGACATACGCACTCCCTCTTTTCTTTTTAGTTTTAGCCGACTTTTCAGCTCTTCAAGTAACACTACTAAGAAACCTGAACCACCTGTTAATCTAAAGTATAATGCACCCACCTCTCACGTTACTCCTTCTGTCAAGAAGAGAAGCAGCACCTTATCTCAGCTGCCCGGGGATAAGTCCAAAGCCTTCGACTTCCTTAGCGAAGAGTAAGTATTCTCCCGACTAGTGCTTATGCCCTCAGTGAGGTAGCGGTTCAGAATATTCCTGCCCCTTAAAACATCAGCCGTAAGTGTTCATCTGTACATAAACTATTTCTGTAACTTGGCTATCGTAAGTAAATTATTTGTAGTCAGTACTTTTTAGGAAAATTGTATTTCAGTTCTCATGAAGAGAAGGAATTTTTTTAATGTGTCTTTTTTGCTGCTATGACATTGATAAATATTAATAGAAATATTAAAGGCTTATATAAACTGTTATCCTAAAACTTTGAACATTTCCTTTGGTGTCAGAGGACTTGGATTTTTATCCTGACTCTGCTTCTCACCAGGTGCGTGAACTTGGTACCTGAACTTCTCAGAGCCCCAGCTTTTCTGCCAATGTAGCGAGTGTAAGAACCTGCCCCAGAGGTGTTAGGGTTAAACTACAGAGTACCTGAGAAGGGTCTGGCACAGAGGTAGATTGTTAACTGTCAGAAACACAAAAATGTTAATGGCCCAGAGAAAGAGAAATTATTTTCACAGCATTTTACTTCATAGCTCTATAGCTTACCCAGTCAATTTGCATATTTGTCTTCTGAAACAAGTTAATGGGATCCAAGGGTTAACCTGCATTACCTTCCTAGAAAGATTCTGATTTATTGGTCTTATTTAGTGGTCTTTAGCACTTCTAGCACATTTCCTGGCATTAGAAAATTCTAAATATATATATTTAATAATTTTTACCTTTCATATAGCCAGAATCTGAAACCTGATAGAAATGTTGGCTGATTCAATATAATAAGCAGCTTACTAACTTGTTAAAAGTTGGATACTGGATTCACTGCATAACTTAAGACCAGCCTTGGTATAACACTTTAAGGGGGAATCTTAGTCTGAAGCCAAGTAATCTGAAATCATGTAATTTTTATGTTGTTACTTTTGCTGTTTTAGGGGAAGAGCTGTTGTTATAATCACTTGATGTAAAAAGGAAATTTCTTTCCCTTTCAGAACTGAAGCTAGTTTAGCGTCACGCAGAGAACAGAAGAGAGAACAGTACCGCCAGGTAAAGGCGCACGTTCAGAAGGAAGATGGCAGAGTGCAGGCTTTTGGCTGGAGCCTGCCTCAGAAGTACAAACAGGTAATGTGTGAACATGGTCAGGCATCTAGTGGGAAATGCAGGGGACAGGAGAGTGGCTGGGCCTGAAGGAATCGAAAGGCACACCCACACCCACTCATTTCCAGCTAAACGGACTTGGCGTCCGTTTAGAGAAGTGTTGATGGAAGTGGGTTTCAGGCTACTTTCCACAGCTCCGGAGCCCAAAAGAAATTCCTGAGTCTGGAGGGGTCCATAGGAGGTGGCCAAGTGCGTGGAATTTGAAGTATCCAGCTCTGTTTTAATATTTGAAGACTTCATTTTTTGGAAAGTAAAAGCATCTGTTTAAAAGTTTTAAGAGGCTATTGGCATGGAACCTTAAAAACTGTTGACTTAACACTCAGTTTAGGTCTTCAGGAACTTTACCTGTTTATTCCACATTCTCTGTTACCGAAAGACTCAGCAGCACATCCATTAATTCTGTTTCTCCCTCCCTCCCCGACCCTGCGCACGGCGCACACACCCTCCTACTCCTACTCCCACACATGTAAATGTCTTCTGAGATCCCGTAGCACCTTGTTATTTTCTCTAATTGCTTCTTGATTTTCTCATTTTTCAAGTAAGAATGACAGAATTAACTTGAACTTGATTTCAAAGAGAAAACATGCAGTGGCAGTGCTTGCCTGCATCTCAGCGGTTCTGTTCAGTTCACTTTGGATGAGGCTAACCTATGTGGCTTTCTCCCCCCTCTCCAATCATTAGGTAACCAATGGTCAAGGGGAAAATAAAATGAAAAATTTACCTGTGCCTGTCTATCTCAGACCGCTAGATGAAAAAGATACATCAATGAAGGTACATTTATTTTGAAGTTAAAGGAGTTACTTCATAAGATCTGGGTGGACTTTTTTTGTAAAGCAAAAATGTTAAAATCTGCTTTTATGGATCAGGTTATTTTGTAGTTTTAGACTGGATATGTTAAATATTAAATACCTGCATTTATAATCATTAGACTATTAAAGAAAATGTGAAAAATTTTAAACATTTTTTAGAAAGTAACTTAGTACTTTTTTTCTTACCCCTAAAAGCTGTGGTGTGCTGTTGGAGTCAATTTATCTGGTGGAAAGACCAGAGATGGCGGTTCTGTTGTGGGAGCAAGTGTGTTTTACAAGGATGTTGCTGGTCTGGATACAGAAGGCAGTAAACAGCGTAGTGCATCTCAGAGTAGTTTGGACAAGCTGGACCAGGAGCTGAAGGTGTGTGCAAGAACGCTTGCCCTCCTGGTGTCTGAGGCTGTCGATTTAGCTCTTTGGTCCAGAACTGACTTCTGGGTCCAACTTCTAATTGGGATTACTCTGTCCTTGCTTACTCCTCACCCTTTCTGCCTTTTGAAAATTGGTTTTATTGAGGTATATTTTGCATAAATCTTATACTTGAAATGTGTACAGTTAAAAGAGTTTTGATTAATATATGCCACAGTCAAGATACAGAACATTTTTGGTACTGATATGCTTTAAGTGCAAATTTTTAGACTGATAAGTAATGTTGTATTTTCGACCTTCCAAATAATTTGGAAATAAACTTAGTAGTGCCCTTGACTGTAATAGCACAGCTTTATGACTATTGGCACATAGTTCATTGTAAATATTTGTTTTCTTTACTCTGCGTATGCAGGAGCAGCAGAAAGAGTTAAAAAATCAAGAAGAATTATCCAGTCTAGTCTGGATTTGTACGAGCACTCACTCAGCTACAAAAGTTATCATCATTGATGCTGTCCAACCAGGCAACATCCTGGACAGTTTCACTGTCTGCAACTCGCACGTTCTGTGTATCGCAAGTGTACCAGGTGAGGGTAAGCCGTGCCCCTCTCTCCCCACTGTCAGCACCTGCTCCGCAGGACCTCATCAGGGCATTGGAGACACAGTTATGTGCTCCTGCATGCAGAGTATGTTCTCTGTCACGGAGTTTATGTTCTAGTCGAGGAAGACCTTGGGTGTGGTCCCGCAAAGCCAAAGGTTGCCACTTGAAATAAGAGTCTTATTTCAAACCTGTAGTGCTTTTATGCAGAAAATGCTATTATGAGTTTCCTTAGCATTAAAAGAAGGTTTATTTATTTATTTATTTTTAAGGAGCTCGAGAAACAGACTACCCTGCGGGAGAAGAGCTTTCAGAACCTGGACGGGTAGACAAAGCATCTCTCTGTGGAAGCGTGACAAGCGATAGCTCCGCAGAGACAGACAGCCTGTTGGGAGGCATCACAGTGGTTGGTTGTTCCACGGAAGGGGTGACAGCAGCTGCCACTTCCCCCAGTACCAACGGTGCTTCTCCAGTGACAGAAAAACCACCAGGTACAGCTGACCTCCCTACATACCCCCTTTCTAGAGTCGGAGCCTACTCCAGATGCCTCATTGTGGACTTAACTGAGGTCTGAAAGTAACAAGAATGAAAAAACCTAAGGAAGATGCTGCAATGACTGTTAAATGAAGTCATGAATTCTCAGTTTCATGATATAATGCAGAGGAGGGAGGGGTAGGCGTAGTGGAATTTGGTAGTGAGGATTTGTGTGAGGAAATTATTGGGAGAAAAGTTCAAACTCAGAATGGTCAGCATGTGTTATTTATTTAATTTTTAGAAAAGGAAGTGGAAAGTAGTGAGATCGATGAAAATGTTCCTACAGCAGAGGAAGCAACGGAAGCCACAGAAGGCAATGCGGGGTCAGCGGAAGACAGCGCGGACACCTCCCAAGGCGGCGTGTACACGGAGCACGTCTTCACAGATCCTTTGGGAGTTCAGCTCCCAGAAGACCTCTCACCCGTGTGTCAGTCGAGGTATACAAGTGGGCCAGCAACCTAGGGAACCAGATAGGGGCGCGCACAGAGGGAACCAAAATGACCTCACACAGTGAAGATACTCCCACCAACTGGCATCGTTGTGGCAGGTGTTACTACTTATTCCTGCCGTGTCTTCATTTATTCTCCTTTATCATCCCCTCTGGACGTTTTTCCCCCAGTGGCCCTGTTTTCCTTCCAACTTAAGAAAAAGTCTTGTCCATAAAATATATTGGTCAAAATCTCCCCGGCCACTTTCTCCTGTAGTATGGCTCTTGATTTCCGATTGTCATACTCGCCGTCTTCCACTCTGAGCGATCCTTGATATTTTCACTCCCACTCTAGTTGTCAGTGAGATCGGCCATTGTTTCAGTTTCCCACTCGGGCTCGAAGGACCTTTTTGAATTTAGTTTTCTAGCAAACTCTTTCTAGCAGGCTCTTGCTTTAAAAGGCTGTCTAATGTAGGCCTATTTATTGAATTCTTTCATTTTCTTTTTCGCCTACTCTAGGTCTTAATAGAAAGCTGATGGGGTATGTCTAAACTGGATTTTTTCTTTTTAAGATTTTATGTATTTATTTTTAGAGAGGGGAAGGGAGGGAGGAAGAGAGGGAGAGAAACATCTATCAGTTGCCTCCTGCTCCCACCTATCCAGGGACCGAACCCGCAACTCTGGCATGTGCCCTGACCCCAAATGAAAGCGGCAGGCAACCTTTTGCTTTGCGAAACGACACCTGACCACTTGGGCCGCACCAGTCGGGGTGAAACTGGATCCTTTTTTAAATTTATTATTTTTCCTCTTATTGTATAGAACAACAAAGTGTCTTAATATTTAATTGTTAATATAAGAGTAAAGTCATCTTTTTAGAATTAGTACATTTCCTTGTCTGTGTTGAATTTGGTTACCCAGTTATATTTCTTTATTATATGTACCAATCTAAAAGAAAAGGCTTGGGGGTGAATTCAAGCATGCTTCGGCTTATTAATTTATTTTAGTAAATTTTTTATATTTTACCCTCCTTTGTGTATGTGTGTGGTTTTAAAACAGACCATCTCTTCACCTTTTCTCCTTTAGGATGAAGCTCATTAAATTCCAAAGGACTGTGGGAGAGAGCCGTAATTTAGTCTAGATACATTAAGTGCTGTACTTCATTACTGTTTCTTAACTCCCTTAGCCACAGCTTGGTCCTCCTAGTGTGTTAATGTTCCTGTGGTAAAATTGTTGAAATATTTAATGTAAGCATTTAACTTTGGCTTTTCTGGAATTTTAATGTTTGATCTTTTTTCTTAAACTGTAAACTAAAATATAGAAGTGACCAATTCCCAAAAAATGAGCATACTCTGATTCCTTTTCCTATGGTCCTACCTTTTCCAGTAATGACTCAGACATGTATAAAGACCAAATATCAGTATTGCCGACTGAACAAGACCTGGTGAGAGAAGAAGCCCAGAAAATGAGTAGCCTTTTACCCACTATGTGGCTTGGGGCTCAGAATGGCTGGTAGGTGGCAACTCTTTTCATATTAGAGTATCATTAGTCTTTTACCTTTGCTTTTGAAATAAGAATATAAGTAGAATGTGGTGTGCATATAAATATAAACAAAAAAATTACATTAAAGAATTCTGTATACACACAAGTTTAAGGTTATATCGCAGTTGGACTTGCTTTGGTTCTGAAGGTAAGCCCTATGTTTCTCTGTCATGGTGTTCCCTTTATATAATAGTCTTGGAAGAAGAGGTTAATAAAATTTTAAAATCTGGGTGATCCAGAAACAGAAGATTGCAGAGTGACAGAATTATCGATGCATATATAGAAGGCTTGTACAGGCCAGAGTATGTTCAGGAAATACCAAGGATTACGTATATGGCTGCAGGAAGACCCAAATCCAAACATTTCCTAGAGTTACTAGAAAAAGCAGAACAGATCAAGTAAAAGCTAAGGAGGTGATAATGAACATTATTACATGGTTTGTTCACTTTCTAGCGTGTGGGAGTCTTATAAAATTGTACATTTCCAGAAGGTAAGCAAGGTCCCTAGGGTATCTTTCCATAGGGGTCTAATACTTCCAAGTGAGGGCCGGGCAGGCTTTTTCCACGAAGGATCTGGTAAGAAGTGCCATGTGACCTCCAGCAGCTTCTCAGCTGTGCTGTGGTGGTGCAGAAGCAGCCACTGCGTGGCAGTATGTAGTGGGTTAGTGGAGCTGTGGTCCCGGGGTTAGAGGGGTTAGACGGGGTTCGTGTCCATACAGATCTCACAGGTCATGAAATACTCTGATTTTTTCCAACCACGTCAAAACCATCATTTTTAGCTTGCAGACTGTACTAAGTTGGGTGAAGGGCTGGATGTGTCCCGCAGGCCACAGTTTTCCTCTGCCTGATGTAAACCACTTGTCACAAAGGCGTAATTCAGTCTGGTAGAAAAGTAAGATCATTTTTAAAAAAGGATTCTAGCCAAGGATTCTGAAGTGTAGGTAACCTGAAACTAACTGACCCCACATTATTCTGGTTCTGGCTTTTTGTTCTTCGCATGTTTCTATTTGCTTAAGCAGCTTATTTCTCTTCCTTAGGCCTACCTATACTCTGTTTTCTTTCCCTAAATTGTTTGTTACTCTTTCCTTCTGAAGGAACTTTGTGGTGGTTATTAGATACAACGAGTGACTTGAAGTTCTCTATGCCTTACCAGTCTTGGTTTTGTTCTTGCAGTTTGTACGTCCACTCATCTGTGGCCCAGTGGAGGAAATGTCTCCATTCTATTAAACTTAAAGATTCGATTCTCAGTATTGTGTAAGTTTTATTTTAGAAATTATTCCTTTAAAAACTGTGTTTTGGTGTAAACTAGATTTTAAGACTGTTAAAGCAAACATGTACTTCATGACTAAATAAGTATCCAGGCTTTTTGTTTTTTTACCTTTACAGAATTAGAGAAGTTGAGTAAGATTGAAACTCTGATTAGAAAGTTAAAAGGAAAACTTGCCAGGTGGATAGCTTACCATGCTGTGAGTTCTTTAGAATTCTGGGGGGAAAAAAAGCAATTAATACCTGTTAATATATATTTGTTTTGGAGTATCCTGTGTGCTCTGTGAATATGATGGTTAAGGCATTTACCAGTCCTTTTTCTCCACCAAAAATCAGTTTGTCTCTTAGGTGACAGAGCTGCCTCTGTTGGCTCCACTCAGGGTGCACGTGTCTGGTCTGTGGACCCTGTGCCGACAGCCTGTGATGAGAGGAGGGCTTTGTGCCAGGGAGCGAGCTCCCGCGTCAGCACACGTGCTGTGTATTAGTTCAGCTGGCGTTTTTAATAGCACAACCTACTCTGTGAAGAAGAGTGTGTTCATTTAGGTTCTGACTTAAGCCCCTCGTCGGTCACGCACCGGCCCTCTGAGAGCCCTGAACTAGTTCAGTATCACACGGTCCCTCCCGTACTCCCAGAGAGTTCTCACACCTTCTTTCCTGTCTGCAGACACGTGAAAGGAATTGTGTTAGTGGCCCTGGCTGATGGCACCCTTGCGATCTTTCACAGAGGAGTTGGTGAGTTGTGATGAGTATAACCTGCACTAGCTCATTGCTTCGCAAAAGCACTTGCAAGCAGATTGGTTTCTTAATGTTTTATTTTTATTTTTAAAAAGCAGATTAAAAAATATTTATTTGCTTTTGGATGGGAGGAGAAGAGAAAAAAAGGGAGAGAAACATCAGTGTGTGAGAGATGCATGATCTGTTGCCTCTCACAAACCCCCAACTGGGGACCTGGCCTGCAGCCCAGGCTTGTGCCCTGGCTGGGCATCGAACCAGCCCTTTCCATTCGCAGACTAGTATTCAGTCCACTGAGCCACACAGCCTGGTTTCTTATATTTTAGAGAAATGATGCTTAAGGAGGGAGAGAGTAAAGGTTCGAACTGAATGCTAACAGTGTGTGGCAGCAGTAAAGGAGGGGGTGCCCGCGTGGAGGTGTAAACGTTAGCAGTAGACCTGGGCTAAGACAAGTTTACTGCAACGAGCAGGCAGTCCGTCACTCCTCGGTCCTCTGTGCGGTGCCATGTAGAGGTGCTGGCTTTTCCCTCATACACTTACTCAGTTGGAAGAAATTTAGGGAGAGGGTATGTTTTCTTTTTTCTAGTATTTAAAAAATAATTTGCATCCACTTGCATTTGGTTAAGTATTTAAAAATAACTTTTAATTGGGTCAAGGTTTAATCATTTTTATATCATACTGTTTATATTCTTCCCTGCCCCAGATTATTTTTTTTTTAGGATTTTATGTATTTATTTTTGGAGAGAGGGGCAAAGGAAGGGAGAAGGAGAGGGAGAGAAGTATCAGTGTAAGAGAGAAACACTGACCGGTTGCCTCTCGCACATGCCCCAACAGGGGGCTGAGCCCGCGACCTAGGCACGTGCCTTGCCCTGGAACGGAACTGGTGACCCTCTGTTTTGTGGAAGGACACCCACATCGGTCAGCGCTGTTACTTCCCTTTAGAACCGGTGTTTCTACATCTACAGACGGAGGGGTGGTGGCGTCAGAACACCTGCCCTGAGTGAAATGAATGAAGGGGATTGAGCATGTAGCACTTCATAACTCTTTGGTACACATATCAACTCAAAATGATACTTCATTTCCTCCCTGCTAGATGGCTAGATCAGGGAAATATTATAAAGTGTAAATATACTAAATTCAGCTTTTAGCAAGGCTTTTCCCAAGTCTCATGTTGTTGTGGGCTTGGAAAAATGTGAGGTAGGCAAGAGTACTTCAGTAGCTTTACAACCAACCGACCGGCAGCTAGAAGTTCCTGGTTGGTGACCGCACGACAGAAAGCGTGCCCGGCCTCTGTTCGGGCCCTTCACAGGCTTGGGTTTTGACCCTCACGGAACGGAGGAGGGGATTCTGCTCTCATCCTCCTGTTGCAGGTGAGGGAACTGAGGCAGAGTGTAACTCGGCTAGGAAGTGGAACAGCCTGGAAAAAACGGAATAGTACATGTTTTAGTGAACTGAATCCAAAATTATATTGACAGCAAGACCAGTAAAGTACATTTAATTTAAAAAATGTTAAGTTCTGCCTGTGGGTTCAGAAGAGTAAGATGGGGGAGACCTGTCTGAAGAGTGAGACGTACTTGAAGGCTGACTGCAAACTCAGCGTGAGGTAGTTAACACCTTAAGTCTCGTAGAAGTGAGTGTCCAGAGCAGGGCTCCACTCTGTCGATAGTCAACATTAAATGGACGCGGACAAAGAAGAGTTAGGATGAAGGGTCCATTAACAGGTGCCAGGAATGCTTGGTTAGAAAGGAGGAGATGGGGCAGGAATAAAGAAGTTGGAATGCATTTATTCTGTTTTCACTGAGCTAAACTTCAGACTGATAAGTCAGCGATTCCATACCAGGAGGCAGACCTCAGCTAGGTGTGGTGGGGGGACTTCCCGACAGTTACAGCTTTCTCCAAGTGCAGCAGCTGCTTTGGGAGGCAGGATGTTTTCTTTCCCTGCAACTGTGCGAGCAGGGCCAGCTTCGTGGTTGGTTCTCATTTGTACTCTGTCATCACCAAAGTATAGTACACATGATTCCTGAAGTTGCCCTTGACTTCTACCCCAGAAAAATGTATCAGAATGCAAGTAAGACAGGTTATCCCCCAAATAATTTTAATCCCTTCTAATTCTTAAAATGTTATTATAAATAACTTGTAACTAATCTATCATGTCACTGCTGGTGAGTGTGTGGGTCCAGGTACTGGGTGGCAGGTCAGATTGGATGACCTTCGCGGTCTCTTCCAACATTGCAGTTTATAGACTGAGAGAACTCGATTTCTACAGATAAAAGATAAACTGAGTACACAGTATTTGGGGGTGCTTCATAAATAAATTTAATTATACACCCCGATAGAATCTTTCTTGTGTTAAAGTTCAGTAAAAAGTGGTATGCATTAATTAATACTCTATTTCCTATTTTAAAGATGGGCAGTGGGATTTGTCAAACTATCACCTGCTCGACCTTGGACGGCCTCACCACTCCATTCGATGCATGACCGTGGTGCATGACAAAGTCTGGTGTGGCTACCGGAACAAAATCTATGTGGTTCAGCCAAAGGCCATGAAAATAGAGGCAAGTTAACCCCTGTTTTCTCTGCTTAATGAATTTGTTTTTCCTGAAGATCCTAAGACTAATTATTTTCAGCTTCCTTTGAAACTGTTTTTGAATCTGTGTATTTTAGGGTACTTCAGTGATACATTGATGACATCTTGCTACTTTTGACTTTGGGGGTGGGAAGCATTTTTCTTTTAAGGAAGAAGATTAATACATAATTGTTTAAATATCCATAATGTCTCAGTATCCATAGATGCATACATGTATTGTTTGAGTGTGTGGCTCTTGACTTGTTTAATTATAAATGGGTTGTGACGAAGGAGAATTCCCAAGTCTCTGCCATCCCACATATATTTATGCAAACCCGCAAGTGTGTCAAAGACTGAGAAATAAGATGGCAATAAGTATGTATCGTAAAAACAAAAGCGTCTTTGTATTGCTTTCTTTTTAAAAAGCTTTGCAACAATTCTGATTTTTTTAAAAAGGAAACTTGGGGGGGGCTGGGATGGGAGAAATAGACAAAAAACTAAAGTAACTAAATAAAATAAAATAAAAAGAATAAGATATAATTCTTAATCTTCTGAGTAGAAGATTAAGAGCCATAATTTCTGGCTCTAATTGAATAAATAATTTAATAAATGAATACATAAAAATGAATGGACAGTAATATAAAAGTGGTAAAAAAAAAAAGAAAAGGAAACTTAAAGCAAGTAAATTTTAAGGTGAAAGGTCTCTGCCTTTCATCCCAAATCTCATTCCCTCACCCCAAAACCCCAAAGTTAACCATTTGGTGTTTATTTTTCAGATCTGTTTATTGCATGCAGATACATACATACACACACATGCGGCAATGCAGGTTCCCTTCTGTTTAATTACAAACAGATCTTACTTCATGTATTACTCTGCATCCCCCAAGAACTCGAGCTCAAACTCAGTCTTTTTGTTGAATGCTGACACATGGCATGGATATGCCACTATTGCTCCATAAGTCGATGACCTGCACAGTTAAAGTCGAGCATCCCTTAGTTCTTTGTTCTTCCTTCTGTTTTGCAATCTGGGAGAGAAGCTATTGTGTATAGAGGATTGATCGTATTTAGTGAACACTAGTTAAGCTCCTCCTATAATACACATTCTGCCGGATTTTTGTGCAGATTAGCACTGTTTTTAAACACAAACTCCTACATAATAAGAGTGACGTTGTGGTTGAACAATCTTCTCCAGAAATCGTTTGATGCACATCCCAGGAAGGAGAGCCAGGTGCGGCAGCTCGCGTGGGTAGGTGACGGCGTGTGGGTCTCCATCCGTCTGGACTCCACACTGCGTCTCTATCATGCACACACTTACCAACATCTGCAGGATGTGGACATTGAGCCTTATGTAAGCAAAATGTTAGGTAAGCTTCCAGATCATATCATTTTTGTCAACTAAAGGAAATGTTTTATTTTTAAATGTTACTAAATGCTGGATAGAACCAGCGAATCAGTTGCCTGAGGAATAGTGAGCTCTTATCACTGAAAGTGTCAGACAGATACTTCATCTACCCTGTGGGGAACTGTCAACTCTGCCTCCAAAAATATCTCTGTATCTCTACTGTCCCTATACCAGGCCACCACCCTTTCCCATCTGGATAACCACGAGTGTCCCTGTTACTGTCTACATAGTAAGCCACGTGCACCATCACCACTTACGTAAATCCAGCCACTTTTGGAATATTACTGTCTTTAGGTGAGGTGACATTCTGTGACATGATTGAAGGAATTTGGGTGGCCTGGACCCCTCTCCTCACTCCGTGCTACCCACACAGGCCCACACTCTCACTGATGCAAACCCAGCAAGTTCCTTTCTATTTCAGGGCCCTCACGTGCACTGTATCCTCTGCCTGAGAAGTTCTTGGTCCCTGTTTACTTGGCTTTCAGACCATAGCTCACAGGTCATAGCCAGAGGGGACCTTTTCTTATCTCCCAGTTTGATTTAGGACCACTTTTTTTCTTTCTTTCTTTCTTATTTATTTTATTTTTCTTTCTTTTTAAAATTGTTTTATTTCACTTAAAGATTTATTTGTTTGTTTGTTTGTTTATTAGAGAAGGAGAGAAATATCAATGTGTAGTTGCCTCTTATGCATCCCAAACCGTGGACCCAGCCCGCAACCCAGGCATGTGCCCTGATTGGGAATCAAACCTGCAACCCTTCAGTTTGCAGGCTGGCACTCAGTCCACTGAGCCACACTGGTCAGGGCTCTTACGCTTTTTCTTCGTGGGCTTGTCATTGAGTTTGCATTGGTTTTATATGATTCTTATTCCCTAACTCTCTCTCCCACAGACCACAAACCCCAAGAAGGGCCCAGCCACTTGGGGCCTGTTCCCTGCTGTATCCTTAGCCCCTATTGCAGGGCTGTAGGACTTTTAGGGATGTCATTAGCGATTCCTTTATGAAGAGAGGCGGAGCTGCATTAGAGGTTTTTAACCTGTGAGTGCTCCCTGGCATCGGACACATGTACACGTAGACACAGACTAATTTCAAGGATGAACCTTGACCATAGGTGTAAACTGAATAGAGTTAAGACTTCTTCTAACTGTGATTCTGTGATCATACCCTGAGCTTGTACAAGTAGAACTTGAATGACAAAATGCTGTTTATCTTTTTTTTTAAGATTTTATTTATTTTCTTTTTGGGAGAAGGGGAGGGAAGGAGAAAGAGAGAGGGGGAGAAACATTAGTGTGTGGTTGCCTCTCACACATCCCCAACTAGGAACACAGCCTGCAACCCAGGCATGTGCCCCGACCAGAAACTGAACCGGTGACCCCTTGGTTCACAGGCCAGCGCTCAGTCCACCAAGCCACACCAGGCAGCACTAAATGCTGTTCGTCTTAAGTGTATTTATCTGTTTAATGATTTGGCTTCTTAAGCTGAGAAATAAGATAAATTATAAAAATTCCCTTGAAATATAAAAGTGCATTGATTCTCCCTAAATTATATGTCTACGGTTTCCTAAAATTGCTAAACTTCTATCAATCCTAAATGTAGGAATAAGGAAAGAGTGTTGGTTTTGTTAGCACAAATTGTTTTTACCTGTGCAAAGAAATTCAAGGCAAGCCAGAACTCTTTCAGCTTATATATAAATCGGAAGGACATTTGACCTCCTGTTTTAGTAAATACTGTTTTTACTGAGGGTTTTCGGTTTTGCTATGTGTTTTGGTTTTTGCAGCTCCGTAATTAAATCCTGTGTTGTATTACCTGAGCCACAATATCTTACTTCTAAATGATCGTGTAATGCCAACCAATGTTTAGAATTTTCTTTTCCCATTATCCCTCAGTAGGTGATAAAGCCAAATGAGACTTGCTCTGATGTTTCCCTTCAGGGAACATTCAGGTGGTTCTGGTCACATTTCCCCTGTTATATTAGCCCGTTACTCTGAGGGACTAGTAATCCAAAACGTCATCTGCTCTAGTTTCTCAATGAAATGTCTCCCCCTGCTGTACAGGTACTGGAAAACTGGGCTTCTCTTTTGTGAGGATCACAGCTCTCATGGTGTCTTGCAATCGTTTGTGGGTGGGGACAGGAAATGGTGTCATTATCTCCATCCCACTAACAGAAAGTAAGTATGTTTTCTCCTGGCTGTCACAGTGCAGGCGGGCGAGTGGAGGGAATGCTCAGGTCTGGAGTTCAGGCAGAAGGCGTTGTCTTGGTAACGGCAACTCTGGTAGCTCAGAACACCAAGCTGGCGGCCAGGGTCTGACCGCTGTTCCTTCACTCTTCCTATGGAACTTAGGAACTGTGTAGCAAATGCCAGTTCCCATGTATCAGGACCAGTGTTTATAATGAAAAGCTTTTCTTCCTGAGAAGCTTTCTTTCAGTTCAGGAGTAACAGTCCTGTTTCCGCTCCACTTTATTACGCCGCATTCAGCAGCCCTGCTGGCGCTCATCCTGGTTTTTCACATTCTCCCTGGCAGTGAGTTTAGGATGTGCCATTCGGCTTACTCACGGTTTAGGAAACATCACGGGAGAAGTTTCTCAGGAGGTCAGCAAGCCCTCCTTATGTGGGAGACAAGTCATCCAGCCTGTATTTGAAAAGAATGTGAACAAAATGTACATTGTATGTTTTTTATAGTATGTTCCATTATTATTTTTTTGTGAACAAAATATGCATCGTATGTTTCTCATGTTATGTTCCATTGCATTAACCATTCATTAAATAGGTGTTTCTGTGTTGCAAGATTCATGGGCATGCAGTGGTTTGAAAACAAGTGCCCTGAGTCCATAAAATGAGGTAATAGACACCTCAGAATTGTCTTACCGTTTTTCAGGGGAAAGGAAGGAGGAGTGAAAGGCGGTTTGTCTGGGGCCTTTAAGGAACCTAACTTCTTAATCACTCTAAGTCTGCATGTTTAGACCACTTATATCCTGAGAGATCCTAGGATATCCCCAGAGTTCATTTCAGCTCTTCATAATGGAGAGTTCCATTTTAGCATTGTTACTTTGAACAGGATTTTTTTTAGTGTCTGCCATGACGAAGTAATAGCTTGAGCTAAAGCCGACCCGAACAGGATTTCTTTTATATAGGTGGGGGGAGGGGGATGTTAGCATTTAGGAAATGCTCTCCATCAATTAAGTTCTTATTAAATCATGAAGCACTGAAATTGCTTTTTGATTAAGCAAAACAAAATCACAGTTAATCAAGAAATTGTACTTTTTGAGCAGTGAAATTCTAGAGAGAGGCTTTGGTAAGAATCTTTGAGTGTAACTTGGTATTGTTATACCGAGTTGAGTTTGGTTAGGAGCTTGGGCACCGAGCTGCCAGACGAAGACGCCGAGAGTGGCGGCCCATTGTAATTCTCCCTGTCGTGCACCTCTCCATGTCCCCTTTCCTCCTCTCTCACTTCAGCTGTAATCCTCCACCAGGGACGTTTACTGGGGCTGAGGGGTAAGTGCGGAGCCTGAACCAGCTCTTCCTCCTGGCTTCTGGTAGCCACTGTGAGGCTGTTCCCACGTCTCTAGATCCCTCTGAATGTTCCTAAATGTCATCCACTCGCAGTCACTGCCTCGCAGCAGGCGTTTTCTGTTTCGTTTTTGATGTCTGTTACATGGCCACCAAACCACTGCGCAGCAGCTTAGTCTATTTATCATCTTTTGTTGCAGCTGACCTTTCTTTCAGACTGTTTTTCCTGCCAATAAAAACACGAAACATCTCTTAAAACTGTCATTAATCTACATTGTTTACTCTTGTTACCAATCATGTTTCTTTCATTCACTTGCTGGCCCATGGAATGGGGATGTTTTGTGAGTCTGGTCATTCTAAAATAATCCAGCAAATCATTGGTTTGGTGTAAATCAGTTACCCTGTAGTAGTGACTGGGTCCTTTTAAGCACAGCTCTTTACCACTCCCCACAGGGGAGATATTCTTACCGCAGGGCAGACAAATCAGAAGATCAAGTGTAAAAATTGTATTTAAAAATATACCCATTTCCTTTATACTATGTAACTGGTTAGCTTTCTAAAATAGGATAAAAAAAAAAACAAAAGAGACATACCTAAGATTCAAATGTTTTCCTTTGTTAACTAAAACGATTTTTAAAAATTAATAGATGTATTTAAAAAGTAAGCTTGTTATTGCTAGACTGGCAAAATCCCCTACTCCATTTACTGAGGTACTTAAAAGCGACTAGCATGCTGTGTATCTTTTCTTCCAGCTTTGTCTTGATTTGGCATTGCTGCCTTCGTTTTACCTCAACTGGCTGTAGCTTTTAGATAATATCATAAGGATTAACCAGTAACCTCTCGCATCATCACTATTTTCTAGAGATAAAATCTGGCATTTGGTTTTTCCGTTGCAGCAAATAAAACCTCAGGGGCACCGGGAAACCGTCCTGGAAGTGTGATTCGGGTATATGGAGACGAAAACAGCGATAAAGTGACTCCAGGGACATTTATACCCTATTGTTCGATGGCACATGCACAGCTTTGCTTCCACGGGCATCGGGATGCTGTGAAATTCTTTGTGGCGGTCCCGGGTGAGTGCGATCCAGGAGTCATATGTCACTGTCTGTCTTTTGTCCCTCAGCCCCACTCAGATGTGAAGTGCTGGAATTGCAGGCGATTTCCCTGAATGAAATTGTTTTGGAATCTCTCCTCCACCCCCCAACAACAAACTTCTTGATTTTCATTTAAGAAACCCGCTTACTTTTGAAAAGCAGTGCTATTATTTTGTCACCACAGAACACCAAAAATGGTCTTGGCTTAATACAGGAGAAGGAAGCCCCTGTCACCAAGGCTTTGTGCAGGAGAGACTTGCAGAGTCCCCACTGGGGCTGCAGGCCGGAGGCCTGGGCGGCGGTGCCCTCTGCTCACTGCCTGCCTGCATGTTACTTTGCACAAGTCGCCTAGTTTCTAAGACTCACTTCCTCATTTCCTTAAGTGGACGTGGTATCTGCTCTCTGCCGACCTCATTTGTTGTGAAAATTAATGAAAGTGCCTTGGGGACTATAAAGTATCATCTAGAGATGAAAGGTGGTCGTGGTGATGTTACTTCACCATCCGTAATCAGGACCTGTTTTGAATTTTTCCCCCATAAGAGGCAAGTTCGTTGCCACACCAACCAACTGTGTAGTATTGGAAATAGTAGTTTCTCAGTATGTTAATTAGGGTTTTCCAGAGAAACAGAACCAACGGTGGAGGTGGGGCTGGGGGGGAGCATGAGAGAGAAGGGAGAGGGAAAGAGGCAGGGGAGGAACGGGGGTGTTTGTTTGTTTGTTTGTTTGTTTGTTTGTTTGTTTGAAGTAATTGGCTTGTGTGATTGTGAAGACTGGCTTACCTGAAATCTGCAGGGCAGGATGGCAGACTGGGGACCCAGGGAGGTGTTAGCATTGCAGATGAGTGCACAAGCCGCCTGGAGGCAGAGTTCCCTCTTCCTCCGAAGGGGAAGGGGCGGAAGGGCTGTTTTCTCCCCTTAAGATCAACAACTGATTGGATGAGGCCTGCTCACTGTATGGAGCGTAATTCACTTTACTCAAAGTCCACTGATTTAAATGTTAATCATACCTTCACAGCAATATCTCGACTGGAATTCACCATTTGATATGGTGCCAGATATCTTGGCACCATAGCATAGCCAAGCCGACACCTAAAATTAGCCACCGCACTTGCTTTCCCAAGGTGTCCCAGAGATGAGGTGGTTGGTGTACGTGGTACCTGGCTGCTCCACAGTCTGAGCAGCAGGGAAATGAGCTTCCTGAAGCCCAGATTTTGTATGTGTGTATAGTTATTTCCTAAGGGCAAATTCCCAAATATGGAACTGTTGGTTATAATGTTTTCTTGCTTTCTTAAACAAAGAAAAAATACGTCATGGAGTCCCCTCCACGTCTCCTTTACACCCCTCCAGTCTCATTGCCTTGCCTTCTCCATCTGTAACCATTGTCCTGCCCATGGTTTTCTGCTTTTACTACATTTGACATAGTCTCTATAAACAATATGTAGTGTTTTTGTGCTTTTGGATTTAATTTAAATGGTATGGTATGTGTATATTCTTTTGCAACTTCCTTCTCATTTTTGAGATTTGTTAATAAGTTTATACATAAAAATCTAGTGCATTCAATGAACTGTGTTCCAATATCTGAATAAACATGTTCCATTCTTCTGTTGATGGACCTCTCAGATCCCTCCCTGCCCCCATATTAAATAATACTGCAGCAGACCTTCCTGTAGATGTGGGAAGGACTTTCCTGCTGGGTATAAATCTAGAAGTAGAGTCGGCAACATCGTTGACCAGTTTGGCCCTAAGCATTAGGCTGTTCAGGCTGGCCTTACTATCACACTCCTGTGTTCCTGCTTCTGCAGCGGAACCAGCTAGTCTGCTGCCGGTTGTCTCTGGCGGCCTGACTTCTTCGGGAGTGTAGTTGAGTAAGGTGTGGATGAGACACTGCGGGAAGGAGTCAAACTGTCCTACCCTTTCAGAGTAAACTAACTGTTAAAAGTGTGCCACGTCACAGGACTATGTCCTGGAAGCATGGTCTGTGCAGTTTGACCAAAGGACAGTAGATTCTGGCAAGAAAAAACAAATACCCCACAGTCAAAGCTTTCTAAGAGGGATGTCTTAGAGAGTAGAATGTGAGTAGTGTTTGAAGGTTTCTCTCCCCACCGTTTCATGCTCAAGGATTCTACCTTAGGACTTAAACTTCAGAGCAGATGACACATTTACTGGTAATTTTATTTGTATAATCTAAATTAAAAAGAAGACATACTTTTTTTCCATATGAGAGGAAAACCATGGATTTGAAATATAAATATCAATTAGGCTCATCCAGCTCAAGGTGAAGACTTTTCTTAGTCTTTTACACAAATGCACACGTGGCCTGTTGGGAGAGACCTTCCCAGGGTCCCTCAGTGCGAACAGTGCCGACGAGGAAAGTCTGTGGCAGGCAGCTGCCCCCAGCCTGGCCGAACACAGATGCCGGGCTGGACTCTGGGCTGGACTCTGGGCCTGTGTCTGCTTTGGTCTAAACTGGCTTCACTTAGGTTTTCAGACTGGGCTCTTACAGCCTTTATAGGTGTTTTCTGATCATGCAGGGCATTTAGCATCCCCAGTACTTTGGTTGTATTAGGAAATGTTTAGCTTTTGTTCAACTTTCTGAAAACATTCAGAAAAAAAGGAGTCTCCCCACCCCAATCAGTGATGAGTAATATTGATTTGTTCCTGTATAAATAGGTCAAGTTGTCAGCCCGCAAAGTGGCCCTAGTGGCACAGATCTGACAGGTGACAAAACAGGGCCATCTGCACAGGAGCCTGGCAGCCAGACGCCCTTGAAGTCTATGCTTGTCATCAGTGGAGGAGAGGGCTACATTGACTTCCGAATGGGTAAGTCTGGGGGCCCAGTCTCCACCGTGCTCTGTGACTTGGGTTTTCTCCTAGAGGAAACAAGAAACCGCTTTAATAAGTGATTTCTAAGAGGTTTTCTTTAAATTCCTTACCTGGAAAAGGACTCGATATATCTTTTTTTTCTTCCTTTCTGTGTTTTTTTAAAATTTATTTGTTTACCTATTTAGTATTCTTATATACTAAAATGTATTTTATTTGAAGGAGCTTTAGAAAATAGCAGGTTTTGCCCTGGCTGGTGTAGCTCAGTGGATTGAGTGTGGGCCTGTGAAACAAAGAACCGCTGTTTGATTCCCAGTCAGGGCACATGCCTGGGTTGCAGGCCAGGTCCCAGCAGGGGACGCACAAGAAGCAACCATACATTCATGTTTCCCTCCCTCTTTCCTTCCCTTCTCTTCTAAAGATAAATAAATAAAATCTAAAAAAAAAACTAGCAGGTTTTGTCATGTATGGAGTTACATGTGAAGAGCGTGTGATGAGGTCAGAAGACCTTGGTCATTCAACCTCCCAGAACCCCACTTTCTCACCTGCAAAATAGAGAAATAAAAATACTCTATAAAGTGTTGTTTGTATCAAAATTGATTTCATTTGTTTATTTTCTCACCTTAATCAACATTAATCATGTGCCTGTCAGCCTTAACCTTGAGACCAGTCTCCCTCCGGTAGTTGGAGGCAGTGCAGAGACGGTGCTAATACACGGCAATGTCGGAGGTGCTCTGGCGGAGGACAGGGAAGGGAAGGCAGAAGTGATGCTGGAGGTGACGCAGCACCGAGTAGTGTTAATCTGAAGAATCAGGTTTTAGCACCCTGCTCAGTGTGGCTCAGTTGTGGCAAAGTGGCAAAGAGGCAAAGAGTTTGTACGTTCGTTCCTGGTCAGGGCACATGCCTTGGTTGTTGTGGGTTCAGCCCTCGGTCTGGGTACATGCAGGAGGCAACCAGTTGACGCTTCTCTCTTGCATTGATGTTTCTTCCTTACTCTCTCTCTCTAAAAAAAACAATGAAAAAAATGTCCTTGGGTGGGGGTTTAAAAAAAAAGAACTGGGTTAGGGAATGGGATGGGGGTCCTGGGGAGATTGGCATTCCAAGGTAAAAAAATAGTTTGACCAAAAGTTTGGAAATGTGAAGCCACCTTAATTAAAGAAAAACTTTTAAAATAACTAGAGCATGGAGTAGAAGCAAATTTGACCAGAGATAAATCCAGAAAGGGAGTGGGGCTGGATTATGGAAAGCCTTTATGTACCTAATTTTAAGTAGTTTGTATTTTTATCTTTAAAGCAAAGGAGAACTGTTGGGGGCCTTAACAGAAGAGCCGTGTGATCAGGTGTGTGTGGCAGGTGGACGTGTAGGAACAGGGGAGTGAGGGGAGAGCGCGTGGCCGAGTGGAGTCCCGCGTGGAGGAGCGGCAGTGGGGAGTGGTCGGTGCAGTCACGCGTCCCTCACCAACCGCACACTGAGAAATGTGTCGTGCCGTGGTTTTACACAGCTGGCAGCATAGGGGGTTGGCTCATGCCAGCACCACCGCAAACGTGTGGGTAATTCATGCTATGACATTGTGATGGCTAAGCCATCACTAGGAAAAAGGAGTTTTTCAGTCCCATTGTCTTATGGGACCACCCTCATCTATGTGGTTCGTCGTTGACCAAAATGTCATTATAAGATACATGACTGTAATAGGGTGTGGGCAATGAGAGAGCAATCCATTTACTTAGAAATGACTGTCGAAGAAGCAGATCTGGAGGGAATGAAAGAGGGGTTTGGTGTTGGACATGGTGACCTTGAAGAGCATGGGAGTTGGGAGTTGTCTGGGTAGAAGATGTGCACCAGGCTTTTGGGCTTAAGAGCTGTAGGTCTCAGGAAGAAGGGGTGGGGGCCTGTCGGCCTGCAGTGGTGCTAAAAGCCGCAAGAGTTGATGAGTTCACCCAAGAAGGCTTTGTCGGGGCTAGAAGAAGAGGTTCTAGGGTAGAACCCTGTGTTAATAACTTAAAGAATCATTAGCGCTTATGAAGGGACCTTTCTAAGAAGGACTAGCCAAAGAGGTGCGAAGAAAGTAGAGTCGGTGTTGGTGAAAGTCCAGTGCCTCGTAAACTGTAAAGCACCGTGACGTAAGTTTGTTTGCCGTAAGTGAAGGACTGGCCTAAAATTTACAGCGATTCAAAAAGTTCCTAAACATAAAGCTTTAAGACAAAATGTTATAGATCTGTGATAGATGCTTTTTAGTTATGAATACTATAAAAAGTCTAAAATTTAGGGTTACGTAAATGATGGTGTGTTGTATGTTATTGGTACATACTAGAATATCTGATGCAAAAAGGCTTATTGGATGTTAAGTTTAGGAATTGTGTCTGGTGACATTAGCGAGAGCAGAGTCACTTGGAAGGGTTTTAAATAGTTGACGATTGGTGCACAATTCCTTTTTGAAGAGGGACTCGCTCGGCCAGGGCGGCTGCTGGAGCTTCCTCTGGGCTGCGACGCGGCGGTTGGAGCTGCACAGAATGTCTTAGGCCAATAAAACCGCTCTGTGGTGCTTCCACCTCCACTAAAATCTTTTAACACTGCGGGTTCTGGAAATAGCATAGAAACTGCTTTATCAGGTTTGTCGGTGTCTTTGTAATCCAGCCTGAAAAACAGATTTGTCCTAAAGCTTAAAATTTCAATAGTAAATTTTTTAAATTTCAATTTGGTCTTTTTTGTTTCTTTTCCTTTTTCACTTCCTATAATATATTAACAATGAGAAACACATCTCAACAATGTAATATTTTTTAAAAGATATCTTCAATTCTTTTTTTTTTGAAGATTTTTATTTATTTTCAGATAGAGGAGTAGGGAGGGAGAAAGGGGGAGAAACGTCAGTGTGAGAGAGAAACATCCATCTGTTGCCTCTCATGTGTCCCAGCTGACGACCGAAGCTGCAGCTCAGGCCCGTGCCCTGACTGGGAATGGATCTGGCGACCTTTTGCTTTGCAGGGTGACGCCCAACCAACTGAGCCACACTGGTTAGGGCAGCAATTCCATATTTTTAATGAAGTAATTAAGGATGTAGAGGCCTTAGGAAAGAGGGTAATTTTATTTATTTTTCTTAAGTTATATGATATTGATTGCAGTTATATTTGCCCTGATTTTTCCTCCTTCGCCCCTCCACCCAGCACCCCCCACTCCCTCAGGCAGTCCCCCCACCGTGGTGCATATCTTTGCTCCATTTCCAACACTGTACTGAGTTGGAATCCCACCGCTGTTCTCTGACCACCTATTGGAACTTAATCCCCTCACCTCTTCACCCATTCCCCCCTGCCCCTCCCAGCTGGCAACTTTCTGGTAACTAATTTCTTTTGCTTTTAAGAGCCTCTATCTTTAACATTTGGCTTTTTAATAATAATGTGTCTTTGACTGGGCCTCTTTGCATCCATCATAATTGGGACTCTCTGCGCTTGAAATGGTAATTTTAAAAACAGAACCTTCAAAATAAAAACTACTCAAAAACAAATGACAAAAGTCTTTTGTCTCAGCTGATTAACGTCATTATCATTGTAATTTTAAAAAATTGAAAAACCAAATTTAATTTTTTTACATTCTAACTAACTACCTGATTATATTTCAGTTCAGAAACCAGATTTTTTTCTTGAGCCTTTAAAGCGTGCTCCTCTCCACCATTTGCGTTGCTCTGAAAAGCCACTGGGGATTGGGTACAGGAGGGTTTGGCCGCAGGGGGAAATGCTAGTCTTTTCCACCAGTTCTGTTGGCAGTATCAGTGTTTCCTCTTTTGCTCAGCTGAAATTCAGGTGAGGCACATTACAGAATTCTTCTAGATCAGTGTTACAGCTTTGCCCTTTGTTACGTAAGTCGGTAGAACTCTGCTGAAGAATCTGTCCCACTACTCGAGTTGTCACTGCGTTGTGGCAGAATAACCCAGCTCTGCAGCGACAAAACGGTGGATGTGCACTTGTAGCGAGAAGTCTGGCGTGCTGGTGCTGGGCCTTGCCGCTCCATGCCTTTGATCAGGGCCTCATTTGCCAAATTCACTCAGCTACTCCCGGAAGGAACCCTAGTCTGTTTTCTGGCTTTCTTAAAGAAAGAAAAAATATGTCATGGAGTCCCCTCCGAGTCTCCTTTATATCCCTCCAGTTTCATTGCCTTGCCTTCTCCTCATCTCTTCATCCCCACCATACACTGTCAGTCCATTGCCCGTCCTGAACTTGAAAACCGTGGGCAGGAAAAGCAGTATGTCACGTGATGATTCTGCCATCTCCTAGTGCTGCAGGGAGATGATGAGTTTCCATGTGCTGTGTTGGGTTCTTGGACCGGAGAACTTCAGCGTCGCCGACAATAAGCATGAATTGTCCAGGTTTGGCTAGTGCGGGGGGTCTGTCCCCACACTTTCACATTTATGATGCTCTCTAGTCTCGGTTCTCAGTTTGCAACAGACAGGAGTAGACTGTCCATTTTGGATAAACACAGAATTGGACAGCTTTGCCTTCTTAGCTCCCATTTCTTTTTCTTTTTCTTTTTAAGATTTTATTTATTTTTAGAGAGGGATAAGGAGGAAGAGAGAGAGAGAGAAACATCAGTGTGTGGTTGCTTCTCACGGGCCCCCTCCTGGGGACCTGGCCCACAACCCAGGCATGTGCCGTAGCCTGGGAATCGAACTGGAGACCCTTTTGTTCCCAGGCCGGTGCTCAGTCCGCTGAGTCACTCAGCCAGGGCAGCTCCCATTTCTTTGATCTTCACTATGCAGGCATGTTGGGATGAGTCTCCAACATAGTATGGTGAACTCAGTGTTGCAGGTATTGTCCGAAAAGTGAGTTAGCCTCTTCAGAGGTCAGGCAGTGAAGATTTGGGTTCCCGGCGCCTCTCTTCATGTGCTCTCAGCGAGGGGAGTCAGACCGGCTGGGTGCGCACTGTCTGTGCACCCACCCCTGTCTGTGCACCCACCCAGCGTCGCGTCGGATGTGCATCAGCCTGCGTGTTGCTTGCTCACCCTAACTGCAGTCTCCTTATCATCCCCCAGGTGACGAAGGTGGAGAATCAGAGCTTCTGGGAGAGGATCTTCCGCTTGAACCTTCTGTTGCCAGAGCGGAAAGGAGTCACTTGATAGTGTGGCAAGTGATGTACGGCAGTGAGTGAGCCCGTGGACCCAGGTGGAGACGGAGGAGCCGTCTCTTCTGCATGGTTTCTTTCCCTTGCCCTCTTCATTTAATGCTTTCTTCGTGAAACAAGTTTCACCACTTAACACGAGCATTTTTTCCCTGTTAACTGTACAAAAATCTGTCTTACTGTAACAATACAAGAACTAGCTGTTTTACTGCACCAGTGTTATTGGCCACTTCAGTGTATTATGAACAAATCAAAGAATGTTTACTGTCTGCAAACTGGTGACTTACAGAAAGCAATCCAGATGTGGCTTACTCAGCCACAGCTGATATCACTCACTTCATCTGATGGGGTCACTTTTTAGCTGTCACTAATAATGGAATTAATGGGAATACTTGGTAAATGAAACTGTACCACTTAGTACAATAGTCAAGTTCCCCCCAGTGTATTATAAAATTGACACAAACTAACATTGGGTGGATTGTCGGGATCTAGCTAAGTGTCCCAAGAGGGCTAAACGCTAACTGTAAATTGCTTTAACTTTCACTTTCAAACCTGACAAATCTTGTTTATATGGTATATAAAAACTTCGTTTTCATCAGATTTGGGGGGTTTTATATTAAAGAAATGAAGACTACACTATTTAAATAAATGTTTCCTATTTCTGACTTAATAGAGCTCTAAAGTTTATGAGGCCTGCTTCTCCAAATATTCTGATTTTTTTTTTGAGACTAGTTAGTTTCACTCATTTTCATACCAGTGTGTCCGAAAGGTTTATACTTACAAGGTTTAGAAAGTAGGCATTAGCAGCGGGAGGATTTTTAAAAAGGAAATTGTGTTTTGGGTTTGTTGTACCGCAGATGGTGGTGGTTGGATGAGTTTTTTCACGTAAAAAATCTACCTGTTTCCTGATTGTTCTTGGACTGCAGTTCCCAGTTCACAAGAACAAAGCTGTAGTGGTGATGGAATGCGGCCAGGGACGTAAACGTGGGGTTTGAGTAGAGACGGTGTTTTCTCTGGTTCTGTGTAAAACTGCAGGACAGCTGGCACTGGATTTTGCATGTAAAAGACCTGTTTGAGCTTTTATGCCCTTGCAAGATTAAAAGGCCATCTATGAAGGGCAAGATGACAGAGCCAAGACACCACGGGGTGTGAGTCACCCCGGCGTCCCTTCCCTCTCGGTGCCCACTCAGAGCCGGAGCCTGAGTCTGACGCTTTTTCCTGTGATAGGGTTTTAAGAAACCATTATGCTGCCGTTTTTCCCTCTCACACTTCTTGAAAATGTGTGAGTTACCATGTTTTTTTCATTACTTTAAGCAAAGCTAAATATAAATTTAAGTGCTATTTAAAAAATGTAAACCTATTGGGTAAGACCCCGCATCAGAAGGACTATTTCAAAGAAAAGAAAGCAGGCCCAGGTCTCAGTGGTCGAGGCGTCCGCAGTACCCGGACTCTTTCCTGAGCTGTCGTGTGAAGATGTTTGCAGGAGTGCACCAGTGTCTTTTAAACATATACACGATTCTGCTAGATTATAAAACACATGAGGTTTAATGAGCCAGAGGCGGCGTTTGGATCCTCTGGGCACGTGTGTCTGCAAGCACGTCCCGTGCGCAGTGAAACTGCCGCCGGTTCGCGGGCTGCGTGGTGAAGCAGCGTCGAAGGGGTGATTTTTTTGCTTGAGCTGCGTACTTTTCTTCAGGGCACCAACACTTAGGCCGCTTTTCCATCACGCTTAGGCTACGTTTGTATTTCAGCTTCAGTCTGTTATTTCGGCAGTACCTTTAAAAACCCACATCCTTAAGCATGTTTGAGGAATGTTGTGGAAATTGATGAAGAAGAGAGCGAAGTGTCGGGAACGTGGACCCCAGAGCCACACCCCACTCGCTGTTGAGTCTTTTACAGTTTGTACGACTGAATGTAAGTTAGGAAATCAGGATTTAAAGATGAGAAATGCAAACAAACGTGTTACAATGATTGTAATTGTTCTTTTAAATTAGTGGCTTCAGTGTAAGGAATATGAGTGTGTAGGTATTTTATCTATAAAACTGTCAGATTTTCTGGCCCTGTTAATTCACTCCAGGGACCAGAGAGAGGACAAATCACCTGTACGGTGTGTTTTAAGGGCTTGTCCTCATGTTTGTAATTTCAGTTAAATATTTTCTATGGATTGCTTTATTTCCCCCTTTTCCCCAATAATAGGTTTATATTCTTGTAATGTTCCCTTTGTTCAAGGTGGCAACCTGTGGATTAAAATGCCAAAATGTAAGCGCCTTGCAGGCAGAACAGTGGTTGTGTGAGCCGCCTGGAGCTTGCACATCAAGGGCAGAAAAGAAAGAAGCCGTACCTATGGAAGAAACAAGGGCTGCCCGAGTTTTCTCCTTTAGTTACGCGTGGGCTCCGTGTGAGGCTGGGCCGCGGGAATGCCCACCACGGTCGACCCTCACCAGACGGCAGCTCATGCACGGTGGCCGGCAGGTTAAGTGCAAGTCAAACTGCCTGTGAGGCAAACGGAGAATATTCTCTAGAAACCCCGTTTTGAGTGTTTTTCTGTAATTCTTGTGGATCTAAATTTTTTAATAGGAATTAATACCTTAATAGCTGCAGCTTGTTGAGAGTGTAAAAGGTTTTGAGCACAAAATATACAGCACATGACTTTTCCAAACTGTGCGTCTGCGTAGAAAAGGTTAAAATACATTCGGTTGCTGTAGTGTTCATTTCTTGTAAAGATCTTCCTATATTAGAGAATAGACCCTTTAACGATGGCTGCCTTAGAAACAAAACAAAGCAAAACAATTGTCTTATGATATTAACTGTCCTAAAGAACGTGTGTCTTGCAAATGCTGTGGAACTGAATATTTATTTCCTGTGAGTATTATGACCGTTACCAAAGGACTCAGCCAGGCACTAGGGCTCCTCTGAGTCGATCATGTTGAGAGAGGGACTCACTGGTCCCAGTTTGTAACATGGGAAGAGTAGAGAGAATTAAAGGTGGAAATCATAAATGCTTTTCTAACAGGGTTATGCTATTTTTTTAAAATCCTCTCGCCCAAGAACATTTTTTCATTGTGTTTAGAGAGAGGAATGGAGAGAGAGAAGCATCGATTGGTTGCCTCCCGTATCCTCCCGGACCAGGGGTCGAACCCAAAACCTTTCGGTTACGGGACGATGCTCAAACCAGCTGAGCCACACCGGCCAGGGCCAGGGTTATGCTGTTCTAGAACAGAAGACATATTTTTATTTCTTTCTCTTTAAAAAAATTAAGTTTTTATTATTAATGTCATACATTTCTCAATATTTGACTATATTTTAACCATTTTATGTTCTGAATTTGTTTATTTGTCATAGATATTTTATCCATAATTTTACTTGCCTCTATAACCTGAAAAAGGGGTTCGAGTGTCCTACTTGCTGTCTTTTAGAGGCTGAGGCTTCATTTCTATGAGCAAAAGGCTCATTTAGCAATGTAGTTATTTCAGTATTTATTTCTATTATGGAATCCCTGGGGTTCGGAATGTAACTTTGTACATGAAATATATATAAATATGTATATGAAACACGTATGAGGTCTGGTGTGTTTTGTTTGTTTTTGCCTTTCCCAGGAGTCTGAACCTGGTTTTTATTCGAAAGTCCAATCATCTTCAATCACACATTCATTTTGGAGGGGCTGCCGCCATTTGGCACTGCCTGCGCAGGAGCCAGGAAGAACACGTCTGCTCGCCCCACGTGTTCACATGAGACGTGAAGAGCAGACGACAGGGCTTCCCAGCAGCGTGGGTGGGACCCGCACCTGGCGGCGGGGCGTGCCACTCTCCAGGTTCCTAGGGACGAGGGTCCGGCTGCAGTGCAGGTGTTAACGAGACGGTGTGCTTATTGGCGGTCCGTGTGCTCGGGAGAGACTGGAAGGAAGGGCGATTACACGAGGAATCACGTGGCGGCCAGTGTGAGTCCACATTCAGCGCAGTGGTGCTTAGACTAATCCAGTGTGTTTTGTTTACAAGAACTGTGGGTTTCCGACGTGGCGGTCAAAGTCGCTCCGATTGGCATGTTGACAGGACAGTTTGAGAGACGAAGACACAGCCCCTTGTCTAGTGAGGTTGAGCGCTCTGGAACACAGTGATAGCCAGGCTCATCCCGACCTTACCTAACCGCCCCTGGGGCCTGCCGGGTCATTGTTTCGGAGACTGATTAATTCTTTCCAGCCCCATTCAGTCATCTTCCTGATCCTCCCAGTCCCTAGTGAGACGCTGGAGCAGCAGCACAGGACGGGAAATGCCCGTTTTACTTTTGTTGGGGGAACAGGACAGATGCTGTCTCGTCACTGGGCTGCCTGCAGTCCTACCCAGTGGCGAATCTGTCATAGCCCAGTGGAGCGATACAGCCAAAGGCCTCAACCCCAGCCCTCCCTCACCCGCCCGCCCTGCTGCCCAGCGCTCTCCTGTTCAGTGTAGGTTTGGGAGCCCTGGCCATCACAGAAGGCATGAACTTAATCTTCCTCAGTGGCCAATTCCCTAGAAAAGGCTTTCCCTAAAAAGTAGTTGGGAAACTTTACAGAATGCCTTAAATATCTGGTAGTGACCATTCAGTTGTAAAGTCAGTTCCTTTACAGACACGGTAGTGTAGTGGCAGCGACCCTAGACAGGGTCGCAGCACCCTGAATCACCCAGAGGGGCATCAGACTGCGCCCCAGACCTCCCTACAGAGTTGGATTCTCTTGTGAGGTCTGAACCCAGGCATCTGTGACGTGTCCTGGGCAAGTGTGATGTGAGGCCAAGGTTGAAGAATGCTATTCAATATCTTTGGACCTTAGTTTTCTCATATGTTAAAGGTAGTGGCTCATCCAGGTGATCTAAGAAAAATCTTAGCTGTGTCTTTCTGGTTCTGTGATCCTGGCGCTAATTTGCATGAGCGTGTTGCACGCACCCACACCCGCTCACAGATCAGGGGAGCCTAATCCCCTGCGGAGGCCCCAGGACCTGGTGGGTGGGATTTGATTACTTAGAATTCCAACTTGTCAGAATTACACAGTCCAAAAAGGAGCCAGATTGTTTAGCTCCTTTTATGTCCAAGCAGAACACTGGCTCCCATCTACAGGAAAAAAAGTTAAATGCAATTTGATTTGAGGCCTCAAAGGAGAGGTGCAGCAACCAGCTTCAGCTCAGGAGTGCCAGCAACTTCACGGAAAAGCCACCGTTTTCAGCCTGGCCAGGAGAGGGGAGCATGGCCTGAAGCACCCGGAGCAGGTTCCCAGAACGGACATACTTCCTTCTTCCTCTGAGGGCTGTCAGCTCTGTATTTGCAAAACGGGTACCCCAGTGATTCTGAGTCTTACAGTAGGAACCGAAGGGCCCCGCAGCTGGATTCACAGACCTCAGGAGCACAGAGCTTCCTTCGTTCTTAGCTCGTTGTTACCAGCACATGGGGACCTGTCAGCAGACTCACCCCAGGCCCAAGCAGAGCTCTTTCCTTTTTGATTCATGAATAATTGAAGCTTAGGGCCCTCGGAGCCTACTGCTACGTGAAAAGCTTACAGAGAATAGTTTGTCTCCCGTTCACTTGGTAAGGTGGTTGGTTTTTTCATAGAAGAAAGCCGTGTTGCCACCCTTCAGGGCCAGACAGGTTCATGGTATTCCTGCAGATGGGAAAATATTCACGGAGCCGTTGGGATGTCAGGCACCCCTTTATTCATGGGTGGGCAAGCCATGCATGCTGCAAACTTCGTGTCTGTCTGCATGTCTCATGTCGTGGCCCTTGCTCCCCAGCATGACACCCATCATGGCACCTGTCCCCTTGTGTGTCTCCCACCGTCATCGCCCCCAGCGGGGAGTCCCTGCCTGTTTTAAGTACTAGAGGGGAACAAAGCCAGAAAACTGGCAGAGCATTATGTAACATAACATAATTCTGCACATGCGAGCCCACTTCATGTTATGGGAACGGTTTATCAGACCCGGTCTCAAGGCTATGTGAACACTGGTTATCAGGCCCCTCCGAGGCTATGGAACACTGCTTCCCTCAGTTACCCAGACACCTGGGTGAGGAGCCCAGAGTGCCTCCACTTACCCTACAAAAGCCATAACCCTTTACTTGTTATCATGACCAGCTTGCATTTACATACCGTCTCATAGTTGCTCAAGGTGTTTATTCCATAAATTCAAAGGCAGTCAGCAGAGCAACCCTTTGGAGTGTGTTACCATCTGCAGGGGATCTAGAGGCCGGGTCACAGAAGGGGGCCTGCCCCCCTGTAAGTAGGCTCAGCTGAGAGACATTAAAGGCCCACAGTCCTCACTGGAGTGGGAAGGGAATAGCCAGATCAGCTCAACACTAGAGGCTGCTGCAGGCGTATTGGAGATACTTCTGGATCTCAAGTGAGAAACCTGGGTTTGAATCGGGGTCTACTGTTACCTAATTTTGTGACCCTGCACTAGTCACTTAAACTACTCTGTTTCCTTACTATACAAAGAGAGTGACTCCCCCCGCCCCCAGGGTTCTTGGCGTGGCTGAGTGAAGTGATTATGTGATAGCACCCAGCATACTGCCTGCCCCCAGCAGGCGCTCAGCAGCAAGCTCTGGAGGCTCCTGGGGTCAGGTACCTGAGCATGAGTAAGACACCCTCCGGAGGATGAGGGGGGGAGACACACGGGGTGGGTAGTGATGAAGTGTTACGCGGTACATTGTAAGCAGTAGTTGGCCGCATAGTGCCGAGGTGGTGTCTGCTTTGGATATTTTGTAATATGGCGGGGGCAGAAAATAGAAAAACCATCCATGATTATTCAGTGCAGCGTATTCTTATTTCAAGTCTCTAGGAAACAGAGGTACCTTGGTCCTATGCGACCTCTCTAGGAATGCCTTTCTCTGTTGCCCAGCCCACCCCAGCTGAAGAAAAAGGAGTGTTCTGTGAACATTCAACACAGGAGGAGGCCCACACGCTCTTCAGCATCTAAGCTCATCGGACTCATATGTAGGCGCCCTGGGGGACATAGTGAAGCATGAACATAGTAAGCTTGACAGTTTTAGATGCCACCAAAACATACTAATTCAACATCTGTTTCCCATAATGCTTTATGACAACCTTCCAGTCACTGTGTATTAAATAAACAAGTAGAGAACAGACATACAGAACCAAATATAATATTACCAGGTGCACAGCAGGGTGAGGAATGGCGGCAAGGGGGGTTATTTGCTTTCTATGTGATTAAAAAGCTTAGCATTACTCTGCCCAAGCAAGAATACAAACTCCTGTGTATTAAGGTTGATACAGGACATCTCAGGTGCAAAGACACCCAAAGAGAGTGGAGCAGTTTTTAAAAAACTTGGAATTTCTTCCTTGGGAGTAATGTGATAATGAGGACCTCTTATTTGCAGGATTATTAGAAAGATTAAACAATGTAATGCACTACTCAACAGTGACACGGACGCCAGCCCGCAGTGTCTGCAGCATTATAGATACGATGAAATAAATTCACATGGACTACCAAGTCCTGTGCAGGAAAAGGGATGGCACGACTTCTCTTTCAAGGGAAGATCGCACTGACCCCTGCCTTGACAGGCTTTTATTGTGTTCAGTTTGCACAGGAAAACAGGCAAAGCTCATTAATCATTGTCAGGCAGTAAGGATCAAACAATAGATAATATACAAAGAACTCTGAGGACCTATTTTGAATCAGGGTCAGATAGATAAATGGCCATAAAACTTAGGAACAAACTCACTTCCTGCTTGGACCCTTATCATTTAATTGAGAGCATTCTAAACGAAGCAGGTTTCATGGGATTTTATGCATTCTTTCTTAGGTCTGATTGCCCTAGGGAACCGGCCCTTTCCAGCACAGGGCTGCGCCCACCACCAGCATAGTTTCAGGCTTAAGTCAGGCAGGGAAAGGAAGGCAGCCAAGAGATTAGGAGACTTCCTGCAGACAGAATGAGGACTCAGGCTGTGTCACAGCCAAGGGGTGAGGGCCCATCAGCCCTTTTCTGTGTCCCCCAGGTACTTCCCTGGGGGCCCCCATGATCGTGCCTGTCTTATGTCGTCCCTCCCTTGAGGAATCTTACCCGTCATTGGCTAACCAACCAAGCATTGGAGACCAGGCCAGGTGAAGTAAAAGGAGCAGAGGCAGCGCCCTGCCATGGAGATAAGCTTTGTCTCCTTAGTGGCTTATGGTCTGAAGGTCGCTCACTCAGCTTTAGTCATGTGGGGTTTACAGCTTCTGAAACCAGACAGGGCGGTTCCCAACACAACAGTAAACAAATATTTGCATGCCTCCCCACCCCAGTGAGGGCTCAATTTATTTTATTTTATTTTACTTACTTATTTTTAGGGAGGGGAAGGCAGGGAGAAAGACTGGGAGAGAAACATTGATGTGTTGACTCACATGCATCCCCTACTGGGGAACTGGCCCAAAACCCAGGCATGTGCCCTGACTGGGACTCAAACCGTGACCCTTTGGTTTGCAGGCCGGTGCTCAATCCACTGAACCACACCAGCCAGAGCCAATTTCTTTTCCTATAGCCCTTCTTCATCAAGCTTGCTTTCCCTCCTTTGGGCTAGCCCAGACCAGACATGACTGAT